AACCAGGAGGTCCTAGTTCAATTCCTGGTCAGGGCACTATCCGCAGTGTGGGGCGTGCAGGAGGCAGCCCATCGATGATTCTCTCTCATCATGGATGCTTCTCTCCTTTCCTGTCCCTCCCTCTCTGGAATCAATAAAAATACCGTATTTTCCGGCGTATAAGATGGCCCCCTAATTTTACAGTTAAAACACAGGTTTAGGCCTATATTCGCTGTATAAGACTACCCACCACTTCCGAGGCAACACCAGTTCTTTTTTTAATAGACCGCCTCTCTGACGCTGGCCAATCTGAGCAGGCTTTTTACTAGAACACAGTGTACATGTCCTGTACCCGAAGCTACACTGTGTTCTAATAAAAAGCCTGCTCAGATTGGCCAGCATCAGAGAGGCGGTCTATTAAAAAAAGAACTGGTGTTGCCTCGGAAGTGGGGGGTAGTCTTATACAGCGAATATAGGCCTAAACCTGTGTTTTAACTGTAAAATTAGGGGGTCGTCTTATATGCCAGAAAATACAGTACACTTAACGGCAAAAACCGGTTTGGCTCAGTGGATAGAACATCGGCCTGCAGACTGGAGGTTCCCAGGTTCGATTCCAGTCAGGGGCATGAACTTTGGTTGCAGGCACATCCCCAAATAGGGGGTATGTAGGAGGCAGCTGATCGATGTTTCTCTTTCATTTATGTTTCTAGCTCTTTTTCCCTCTCCCTTCCTCTCTGTAAAGAAAATCGATAAAACATATTTTTAAAAATACACTTAACAAATTTAGAAAAGAACATTTTCCCCATTGGGATTTCCTGCCAGGGCCACGGCCCGGCTGGGAAGGCGGTTCTTGCCCCCAGGAGGGGCCAAGGCCTCTGAGTGTCAGGTGCACCTTGAGCAGAGCCTGCAGCCATGGGGAGTGGAGGAGGTCGTACAGGAGACACAGTCCGCTCACGTCTCGGCTGTAGAACAGATTCAGCTCTTGCAGCACAAGCCTCAGGGTTTGAGAGAGACCTGGGAAAGGCAGAGGGCAGTCAGGGTGGCAGGCAAGTGGAGGAGGCAAGGAAAGCAGAGTGCACGAGAAGGACAAGCCAGCTGAGACGTGCCACAGGGACAGATGGCACTGAGGGGTGGCGATGACACTGAGTTTGAGCCCAGAAGATCTGCCTTCAGGCCCTATTCTGTCACTTGCTCAGAAAGTCAGCCAGCTACCTGGAATCCAGGTGCCTGTGGCAAGAAGAGAATATGCTGGCTCTCCCATAGGGCTGCTGCTAACGCCTGGTGAAATATGAGGTCATAGTACACAGGTGGAAGATGTGGTGAGAGCAATATTGTTTATATTCTCCCCAATCTTACCAGCTTTGGCTTATTCCAAATTATCTATTCTGGGTCCTCCTTCCCTAATTCAAACGTAGAGTCATTTGTCTTTACACTTTCTGAAAATGCTTATTGAAGGTGTTATTGAAAAACTCTAACTCCCAATAAGGTTTTAATATACACCTCAGGATTCCACTGACTAAAGGGTCTGGGCAGGTTTTTGTGAATGCTTGGATTTTTAGGAGCATTTTCATAGGGATTCTATTTGATGCAGCGACCCTTTGAATGCGAACCAGTTATGAAGCTCTAGTTTTAAGTAAGACCTTGGGTCCATATCTTTCCTCTCCGCCTTCAAAATTACTTAGACTTATAACCAATACATGTGGTAGGACACTCAAAAGTGTACAGGATCCTATAGGAATTGCAGTAAATCTACCAGAATTTTACCCATGTATTTGATCACCCATCCAGAGTGACGGTATCAGGCCATCTTAGTTTAGAAAAAGGAGCCACATACCATTCTCGGGATTGGACGGTGTAGAACGCTTCAGGTCCTCCGTGTCAGGCATGTCTGCGCCTTTGTCTGAGGGTATCATCCTCCCGCCTGAGCTCCCACAAAGAATCCAGGCCTGGGGAACAGATCAATAGACAGCACACCGCTCCCTCAACCACGCTGGCCATGCAGCTTTTGGGGCCCTGAAATGTATTTTCCACGCACTTATTGGGCGAGCCAGGCACTGTGCTACACACTGGGATCCTCCTCAGACAAGGAATTCTTGCCCTGTGGTCCTTACTCTGTGATCATCGCTAGTTGTGCAAAAGAGAAAACTGCTGTTTCATAAAACACTCCCTCTGCTTTGCCTCGTTGATTTTAGCATCACCCAGAGCGTAGAAGCTTCCCTGGCCTGACTGACTCAGGAGTCCCGTTCTCTCATTGTACCAGAGTCGTGTGTTACTGCTGAGGCACACTCTTAGAGCTTACTTTCTATATTGGTTTAGGCAGGTTTATTTCTTTATCTTTTAAAATATGTTTTAATTGATTTCAGAGAGAGGGAGAGGGAAAGATAGAAGCATAAAGGATGAGAAAGAATCATGAATCGGCTGCCACCTGCATGCCCCCTACTGGGGATTCAGCCCACAACCCAGGCATATGTCTTCACCAGAATTGAACCTCACGGGTCAACGCTCAATCACTGAGCTAAACTGGCTGGGCTACTTTGGGTAGGTTCAATTTCAAGAAACAGAAACCCAAAACAACAGTGGCTTAACAGAAGTTTATATCTTGCTCACGTAAACGTCCAGAGGCGGAGACAGCCCCGGGCTGGTTGGGCAGCCTTGCTCCATGAAGTTCTCAGAGTGGGTTCTCTCCACTCAGCCCTCCCCCACCCCGGAGGCAGTGTGCTCCTCACCCTCCTGCTCCAGGTGGTGGCTGGGCGCCATCCATCACGTCGTTCAGCCAGCAGGCCAGGGGAAGGGGCATGAGGAAATGAGGGCAGGGGAACCGGCCCACGGCTCTTTGAGGAAGTTTCCCTCCCTTGGGAAAACTTCAAATGCCCACTGCACTTGCCTATGGCTGGAAGAAAACCTCTAGAACTAGCTGAGCCCAGAACTCAATCCCCCCTCTCTTTTTTTTTTGTAATCAATAGACAAGCATTTATTTAAGGCCTGTTTTATACCAAGTCAATAATTGCCCCAAGAGTTTTTCAATTTTTCTTTACCTACAAAGTACTTTTGCACAGCTTTAATACACACTGAAATTTCTAGAATGCTGCTAAATGCTACTAAACCACTTAGACCAGAAAGCCCAGGCCTGTACCTGTAGCTATTGAAAACGGACAGAAGGGCAGTCAGGTGGATTGCTGGTACTGAGGACCACTCGGCAGGGTGTCTTACCTGCGAGGCTGCAAGCGCATAGTGTTGCTGGGTGTAGTGTTGCTGGTCTCGAGAGAAAAGCTTTATCGGGAAATTAGCTGCTATCAACTGCCAGTCACCTCGCTGTTCCAGATTAAATCTCTGCACATCCTCTTTGATTTAATCCACAGCCTAACCATTCAATGACCCCCCAAGCTTCCCCTGGCACAACTCTTAAGTAATCCTTACCCTGAAGAGTCTGTGTAATTTCTTTTATTTTTAGCCTTCCTTTAATATTTCCTCTCTCAAATTGTCAACACATTGTTAATAGTTAAAGATTCATGCTTGTGTTGAGTATTTCAGGATCACAGACAACCCACAACAGAGGAGAGCATTTTATGTTAGCGGAAGGGAAAACTGTGGAGATACCTACCTGAGAGTAAGCCTATTGACCTTACTAGTTTTCTCAGGCTGTGGTGAGAAAAGGATGGAAGACAACAGCAGTTCCTTCTGGAAGGCCCCCTACCAAGCCACTGCTCTGAAATGCATGGTTTGTCCATCCCGTCTCGGATTGTAGCTACTTCTTTGTCTGAACATTTCATATTGCAAGGAGGGGGGAAGAGCTTTGAAAGTAGGCATCACAGAAAACAAAACAAGAGAAAGGGTACTGCTGACAGCAAGGCCAAGGGTCAAGACCAAATAGCGATTATAAGGTTTACCAGCCCCTTTATCCTAAATCAACATATGGCTTTCCCCTGCTCTCCACTGTAGATCAAAATCCAAGCTGGGAATGGATACATTTGTGAATGTTTTATGAAAAGCTTGTGGATCAAAGGGTCCTGCGTTTGATTCGGATCAGGGGGCACATACTTTGGCTGCAAGCTCCTCCCTGGCCGGAGCCCTAGTCAGGGAGTGTGCAGGAGGCGACCAATTGATGTTTCTCAATCGTTATTTCTGTCTTTCCCTCTCTTCCACTCTCAAAAAAATCAATGGAAAAACATCCTCAGGTGAGGATTTAAGAAAAAAGTTTTATCTCCAATTCACTTTTCACTTTGAACTTTTAATACATGCCCTGTATGAAATGACATCTCTGTAGCCGTGGGAGGGAAGAGCACTGGGAAGTTCGAGGCTCAGCTCTAACAGGAAGTGAATGATAGCCACTTGTCTACAAAGTGGAATTTGTGGGATGAACCCTGCCTCCCGGGCTGCTGAGCATCATCAGGGTGAGAGGTCCTTGCAAATTGCTATAGACACTGGCCTGGAGTTTTAGGGCTTTTCCCCCAAGAGAATTGGAATTTTATAACTTTAATATGCTATTTGAAAAGTATAAGTACAGTAAGAAGAAATTAAAGTAACAGGGTAGTTTCATTCATGACTCCAATAAAAGGATGACTTGTAACATTTTTTTTTTTTTTGAGAGAACTGAGACGGCCTACCAGCATTTTAGAACTCAGTGGGTCTTAAGTCTTTCTATTTTCACAGTTATCCCCATCTCTATCTCCTAGGGGGTCAAAGGCATTCAGTACAATTGCCTTTATAAGTCAAATGTGGAATTCGAAGTCTACTTAAAAGCCAAAGCATTCCCTAATGGAAATGAAAAGTGTTTCACATTCACTGATCTTCCTGTGCCGTAGTCCTCTGCAGCGAGCAGGCCCATTCAGGCCCATTTGGGCAGAAAGCACCAGGCTTCTTGAGAAGACATTACAACAAGGAGATGATTGGCTAAGGCCTAACATTTCTAACCAGGATTTTAAATCCTTACTCCTCCTTTCCCTGCATCTGTTTAAGGAAGAGAGAGAAAAAAAAACCCACAAAACAAAAATGAAAAAAACAAAACAAACATAAAAACCCAGTAACTATCAAAATATGCCTTTTATTCAAAGAAATAACAGACTTGTTTTAAGACCCTTGTCTTCAGGCTAATAGGATCAGAAGGTTAATAATTTGACCTTTGTCACTAAAGGTGCCATAATTATAATTAAGTTAGTTTGTTTTAGAGAGAGAGATGTCTAGGACCCTCGAGGAGCCTGAGGCACGGATGACAATGTGGGCACCAAAACACGGAGCCTGGCTTTTTATAACTGCAGGCTGCCCTGTGTCATTTCCTCTGCAATCAAAACAACCTCATAGAGATGAATGTCTTTTATTATGAAAATTGCTGTTACATTACAGCCAACATTCCAAAACAATATTTTAATAAACACTCGTCTTGATTATAAAGTAGAGCAGAAACCATGATCCTGTTTTAAGTTAGCATCTGCTGATGTTTAACAAATCAGGAGGACACTCCGTACGCTCCCCACGTGTGCAGATGAGATGAGGAAGAGCACCTATGTTATCCAAACAGCTACTAGTGTTACTTGTACAGTATAAACCACCGCTTACAACATAAAAAAAAAAAAAAAGCAGAACACTACGACGTTGAGGTGTCACAATATGTGTCAGATGGGAAAAGCCGAGCTCGTTTCCTTTTCCTTCCCCTGCGAGTCCCATGGGAGGCGCAGGGAAGCACAGCACGAGGTCAGGGACGGACGCAGGTCTCCGCTTCCCTGTCTCCCAGCCTTGGCTCCGCTGCAGCCTGCATGCAAAAGTCTTCACCTCATTCCCAGGCCTCGGGCTCAGCCTTTGCCTGCGGACAGGGGAGGATCCGCAGCAGCTCAGAGTCAGTGTGGAGTCCAGTGTATTCACTCTGTGGCACTCATTGGAAGGAAACCAAGGACAAAATTCCCGTGTTCTTTTACTCAGGAGGCAAATACTCCTGTTTGGACACGGTCCTTGCTTAGGGTTGGAATTTGTTGGTCATTATTTTGAACCTCTCTCCCATGATGAATACCCTGGTGGAAAAGCTTAGAAAAAGTTAAAACTGCAGTTTAAAAGTTCCTCTTGCCCCTGTCTCACTCAGCAAAGCAGCAGAATGCACCCTGGTTTGCAAGGAACTCAGGAAGGCATAGTGTGGTTACCGTCGTTTCGAGAACAATGTGCTCCTTGCAAAAGGGTCTGGGGTAACTGCAGGCAAACCAGAGACTCAAAAATATCCATCAACTTCCTTAACGCAGGAAGCTCCAGAGGGCTTCCTGACGTGTGGAGCAGCACAGCCTACGCTGAGGAAGGGACGGAAGGCTTGTCTTCTTTGTCCAAACCGTTGTAGATGAGAGCTGGGGAACTTAACATAGACCAGGGACTGGTCCAATCTGAATTCTGCCTCCTTTTCGATCTCCCCTTTAAACTGTACAGTCTCTTCCTCTGGGCTCAGAGCTCTGATCATTAGTAAGGCTCAGAAATGACCAAAATAACACAACATCCTAATTTCAAGACCATTCTTTTTTGCCACTACAGGAAGGTGCCAGATGGTGCTATAACACTCTGTGGAGATAATCCAGTTGTTAGCTGTTACGCAACCTAGTTAAGCTTCTCACGCTGGATCTGGTAGTAACATGCCTGAAAAAAATCAAAACAATTTCAAATTTACTTTGAAAGAAATTACATAAACAAAGCAATGCACCTGGGACTAAAGAAAGGAAGTTCCTTATTCATTCTGATGGCCCAATAAAATCAGTTGCTTTCATTTTCCCTGTTCTTTTCCAGACTCCGATCCAATGTCTGTCTATATTGTCTAGCTGTAATTAATAGAAATACAATTTTGTGCATTTCCCTCTAGTTAAAAAACAAAACAAAAAACTTTTTACAAGCTGTATAATATTCTTCACTAAGTAATACTATAATTTGTTAAGGCACTATTAACTGGACATTTAGTGAATGCTGCTTATTATAAGATACACAAATAACCATGATCAGAATCATCATGTTTGGTAAACATGCAGATTAAGCATCATTCCACACCTACTGAGTCAGAATTTCTAGAAACATTTTAAAAAAGCATCACTCGGTGATTCCAAAAGTATCTTGGCCTGGGAGTTACTCACACTACAAACAACACCTCATCCAAATAATATGTAATGTTTCCCATTCTTTAATTATAAATCTCCAAGAGTAGGACTACTCCAATTCCACAAACATTTTTGATGTTGTTGACATCAATGTTAATAACAACTGTTTTCCAAAAGGGTGACTATTATTTAATCAATTATCAGCAATATTGGGAATAATACTGATATCACCATACCCATCAGCAGTGTATATATTTTAAAACATTTTTGCTAGTTTAGCAGGCACAAAATGACACGGTGTTTAAATCTGTGGTATTACAATATTCAGTAAGGGTGAGCATTTTCCTACATGTAAGTGTAATAATTCAGTTTCTTCCTCGGTGATATGTTTAGAGATGCTCTTCAATAACACAAGTAGTTAATAAGTAAGTCATTGGTGGTCAGTATTTTCCCCAGTTCCCACCACCCTTTTTCAGTTTATTTAATAAAAATGGTATTTCAGTTGGAAAGTAAAAAATTAACCAAGGCAGAAATCTGACATTAAATTTTAGTTTTTCCCCTCATTTTAATGTCTGCCTTTCCTTCTTTCTCCCCTTTTCTATCTTTAACCCTAAAGCCGTGGTCAGCAAACTGCGGCCCGTGAGCCACATGTGACTCTTGAGCCACATGCGGCTCTTTGGCCCCTGGACGAGTCTATTCTGAAGAAGTGCGTTAGTTTAAAAAATTTGACTCTCAGAAGAAATTTCAATCGCTGTACTGTTGATATTTGGCTCTGTTGACTAATGAGTTTGGCGACCACTGCCCTAAAGCATCTGTAATTTGCAATATCAGTGATTCCACCTGATTCCACTCTCCTTCCAAAATTCTTAGTGAGTTATCCCACTGCTTTACCATTTACTTAGTAAGACTTCTCGTTTCCATTTCTGTGTCTGATGTTTCCATTTTTATATGTGAAGTTTTCATTATAAAGCCTACATGGGAGCTATCTCTTCCACTTAGTTGTCTATTCCTGTGACAATGATATACTATCTTTTAAAAAATATATATATTTTATTGATTTTTTTTTTTTTTTTTTTTTTTTTTTTTTTTTTTTTTTTTTTTTTTACAAAGAGGAAGGGAGAGGGATAGAGAGTTAGAAACATCAATGAGAGAAATATCGACCAGCTGCCTATTGCACACCCCCTACCTGCGATGTGCCCAGAACCAAGGTACATGCTCTTGTCTGGAATCGAACCTGGGAACTTATCAGTCTGCAGGCCAATACTCTATCCACTGAGCCAAACCAGTTTCGGCTGATATACTATCTTAATTATTGTAACTGTATACCATTTTACTAACTGGCAGAGTGGGTTTATTCTCCCTCTTTTTTTCAGAAGTATTTTTGTCATTTTCTTTCTGTTGTTCTTCCAATAAACTTCACAATGATTCTACCATAGTCCAAGAAAAACTGAGGTGGGGGAAGCAAAATAGCTTTCAACAATCCCTAGAGAACCCAGATCAGAGAACCTCATTTGTACCTATTGGCTACAGTAATATATGGGGGGAAAGAAGATGCAATTTATATTCATTCTCTACATACTGCCTCCTGTGTTTTACATTAGTACCACTAAGTAGCTTGGAAAGTTTTTGAATCCTTGTTTTTCTTCAGAATTATATTTATATAAATGCTCTACATTTATAAGCATTTATAAAACTTTGAATTATCAATTTCTAAGGAGATTGGGTGGTGAATAATTTGCTTTAATATTTTAGAAGGTCAATTTCCTTAATATATCATATTTTAAAATATTAACAACTAGAGGCCTGGTGCATGAGATTTTTCCGGGGGGGGGGGTGGGGCGGTAATCCTTCAGCTTGGTCTGCGCCCTCTCACAGTCCAGGACCCCTCACTCCTTACTGATTCGCCTGCAGCGGAGGTAGGAGAGGATCCTGCCACCACTGCTGCGCTCACTAGCTGGGAGCCCAGCTTCTGGCTGAGCGGCACTCCCCCTGTGGGAGCACACTGACCACCAGGAGGCAGTTCCTGTGTTGGACATGCTCCCTGGTGGTCAGTGCACATCATAGCAACCAGTTGGTTCGATATTAGGCTTTTATTATATAGGATATGTGCACGAAAGGCACTTAATGTTTGCATTAAACTTATATAAAGAAGACAACTGGCTAATGTCAGATATATACTATGGAAACTGAAAGGTAGATTTTAAGATAATATTAAATAACACCTATACTTACCTTCAAGGTGGTGAACATGATGCCCTGTTCCCCATGCTGAAGGTATGGGTCCATTAGATCCTCAATGAGATGTACCTCAGAGCCTAAATTCCTAATCCTGCCCAATGAGAAAAAGATACTGAATCATTTATGTGTACATCTTCCTTCTGAATCTATTTGAGGGGGAAAGAAAAAAATAGCTCAACTAAGAGGTAATGACATAATGGAATGGTTTAATAGAAATAGAATTTTTTTAGTTTGGGGGAGCATATTCCTGTCATCAGTTCAAATAAAACAGAAGGCACACATGTTGAAATAAGTGGTCACTAGCATTGAAGTCAGAAAGACTGGTCACCTGGCCCGTAGCACCACATATAAGAAAACAGGAAACAGGTCGTCCATGGACCACAAGAAGTCCTCCTGCAGAGACGCCAGGACGCCCTGAGAGATCTCCTCGAAAGTCTGCTGGATGACCTTCAGTTTGTCGGATGGGGTAAATGTTGTGCTGTTGGGGGGAAAGGAGGAGAAAGATAAAAAGATACCTGTTAATTTTCTTAAGAGAGCCATTTGTTACTAATTTTTTGAGAGTATTCCCTCCTGAGGTACATCAGGCATGAGTTGCTGAAGTGTTGACCTCTGCAACCCAATGGTTCTCTGGGAAAAGAAACTTCCAACTATCTATGATTCACCTGGAAGAATTCACTAAATCACATGTCATCTCCTTTAACCAAGTGGATCTTATTTTCCTATTGCAGGCTCTTCTCTGAGGAAATTTAGTTAATTTCCATTTGGCTAAAGATGTGATTGGATAGGTAAGTTTCTGCGTAGGCGCTCTACTTTTGATAATACAAGGGCTTTGTAGCATGAAAGGTAACACGTCTCAAAAGAACCTTTCTTATTTCCAGGCTGAGTTTGACAACATCCAGGAGGGAAGGGGCGCTTAGAGCTTAAGTAAAAACAAGATCTCATTAATATCTTAATAGACTAACCACTAGTTTGATTTATGTGTTTTTTTCCAACAAATAAGAGATTACCTGATCTGCTGTAGACATTCTACGGCTGAGGCAAAACAAGCATCTTTTGTGGTTGGCAAAACCTGCAAAAAGAGTATTTATGAAGCTCAATGAGAAAAGCTATCTTTTACTCTAATAATAAAACAATACCAATGGCAGAGTGCGGGTCTTTGGTGAGTAACTCATGCTTGGGTACCATTCTACCAAAGTGAAATGGAAATTTCTAGTATCTCAAATCCCCCGTTCCAAAGGAAAGCACAGTTGCTAAGGAAACTAAAATCTACTGTACCTTTTTAGTCTCTCCAAGGATTGACAAGGTCACTGGCCAAAACTTCCTGCAATGGAATCCATACTTTGTCAATACAAGTTGTTACTTATAGTAAATTAACCCCCATAAAAACAGGTGATGGCTATACTGGCTTTCCTGTCCCCATTTAAAATACCTGTACCACAGACAGGTCAAGTTTTAATAAGCATTCCAGAATTAATTTAAAGTCTATCATGTCTCTTATGGATCTGTTATTCTATACTCCAAAATCCCTATACATTACAAATATGACCTAATAATGGCCAAAATCTTACCTTCACTCAGTTTTATTGATCTCATCTTTATTATTAAATTATTTCCCACTGAAAAGATTTACTTTCCAATTCAGGTTTATTCCCTTTTTTTGTTAGCACAAATATATAATTAATGGGCATTGGGGTGATCAGCCTTAGCACAAGAAAGCATAATTACTTAGTATTCTCCTGGAATAACAAGAAACCATATCTTTCAAAAGAGCACGTCTAAAACTTTTGAATTAGAAATCTTGTATGGGGAAGGAGGAACAAGAAGGGAAGGAAGCATACCCAAGATTAAATACAATTAGCTTTCTTTGAAAATATGAATGTATATATATTTTGCTTTAAAAACTGCAAAATATCAGTACCATAACTCAAATTTAAATTATATATATAAAGCATGAACACACACAAATAAAATATACTTTCTAAAGAATAATTGGGTTCATACTCATCTTCAAAAATAAAGATTGTTAAATATCACTATTTTGTGAAATAAGACAGATATGCAAATAAGTGAATAAATTGCAAATTGTATACATAATTAGATATCAAAGTACTCAGTTCCTGATAATGCTATTTACATTTTAAATTAAAACCACTTGATTCCACTCATAACTGCTGTATGTACCTCTGAACCCCAAGGAAGCCCAGCAGGGCGATATCTGGCTGCTTGTTTAGTCGCAGAACACACTCCCAGTAAATGTCCTCCTCACGGTCGTTCTCCAGGGCGTAGAGCATGAACAGAGGTGGGTAGAGCCGAGGCAGGAGCACAGGAAGCAGCAACCCAGAACTGGTTACCACGTAACTACAAAACAGTGAAGTGACAGGGAGAATCATTCATATTAAAACTCAATGCAGAATCAAAGTTGAAAGTAGAGGTGGGAAATATTGAGTTAAGGAGTAGTTATAATATCACTCTACTTTTCCATATGGAGTTCACATGAGGAGCTAATTAGCCCCCGAGTTTGTCTTGGACCAACTGTGAACTCTTTTCATAACTCAAAATCTAACTGGAAACCCACTTGTGAGATGATTTCTCGGTGATTATTTTAGGTCAGCCTAAGGAGGCTTTCCTCAGCAGCCTTTGTGCCCAGTCATTTGGGGCTGCACTTTCATGAACTTGAGAGCTAAATGAACCTCAGAGATCACCTGCCCAACCACATCACTTTAGAAAAGAGGAAGCTGAGATGGAGAGAAAACAACTTTTCTGGGGTCACTTGGCCGCCACCCCGTTTCTTCACATCTCCGCCACCTCCATTTACCCCGGCTCCGGCTCCGGGGACTCGGATCTGGAATCTGACTTCCCAGTGCAGAAGGATTTCCTTTCTGTGGGCAGGGGAGCCGAGAGAGGAATGGTGCTGCCCTCTTCAGGAAGCTCGGGAAATAAAAACCTAAGGAGAATAAAACACGTAATTAAGGAATTACACGTTAAGAGAGGCTGAAAGAGTAAAAACACATTCCCATTAACTAATCTATTTAAGGATCCATGAAATCAAACTTTATATCAACTAAATATTTTAGTTGTCTGAGTTTCTTAACTGATGCTTCTGACAATAAAATTAAGAATGCTGCTAATGAATAATACCACTAAAAATCTTCATGTGCTATGGCTTTTTTTCTGTCTAGTTATTTAAGAATGAAAAATTCTGATCTTTGTTTCTTTTACTGGATAATCCCATCGGATGTCAATCTGTATAAACTCTTCGAGCAGAGACCATTATTCTCAGAGTATTATAGGTTTCAAGTAAAAAATATCAGTGTTTATATAAAAAGCCAAGTTGCTGGAAAAAATCTTAAAGTGATTAAACTGCCAAATTGTTGAGGATTTTCTTCTAGGCTCTGAATTTTCCCTACATTTTAACTCCAATCTCAAATGATAGGTCTTACCATGAACAAGTTTATTGTCCTCTTTATTTTTACAGACTTTAACTGTGACCCTTGCTGTTTAAATACAGTCTGCAATCTTCTTTATTTTTGTAGACTTACCCCCTAGTTTCATAGTTGGTAAAGCTAACGAAGGTCAGGAAACTTATCTTCATTATACCCTTGCTAATGCCAGAGTGGAAATACTCACAACCCAGGGTCTTTTAGGTCACAATGCCCTAAAAAGCTGAAACATTTCCACATAAATTTAAGAAAGTTTTATGGGACAAAATGATAAACTTTTGCATAATTATTCCAACATAATATTTTGTTGGCTTACACCCAGTTCCAGATTTGCTTACTGCCTTAAAACTTTCAAAAAATGCTTACTTTCCTGCTTTCTAACCTCCTTCCAAGTCTCTGTTCAGATATGACCTTATTAGCCAGGCTTCCATGACCTTCTATTAAACAGCAGCATCTTACTCCAGCCCCATCTTCTTTCCAGATCGCATTCATATTGTATATTTTGTCTACTCTGTTCCCACTACAATGTAAGCTCCAGGACGATACAGATTTCAAAAAAGTTTTGTGTGCTGTTTTATTCTGATAAATTCCCCCAGGAGCTAGAATGGTGACTAACATAGAGATGCACCCGATAAATATTTGTTGAGTAAATGAACAAAGATGATACTGTTGTCAAGGAACAGGACATAAATACTCAGGGACAAAACTTCACATTAAACTTTATCCTCTCTGTGATGGTACCTAGAGATAAAATCCAAATAAGACTATTCTATTTCATACCAAAATTACAGTTAAATAATACTATTTTAGCCTTCTGTTATACTTAATGAGTAAGAAAGACATAAAGGCCAAAACCGGTTTGGCTCAGTGGATAGAGGGTCGGCCTGCGGACTAAAAGGTGCCAGGTTTGATTCCGGTCAAGGGCATGAACTTTGGTTGCGGGCATATCCCCAGTAGGGGGTGTACAAGAGGCAGCTGATCGATGTTTCTCTCTCATCGATGTTTCTTTTTTTTTTTCTTTTTTTTTAAATATACATTTTATTCATTTTTTACAGAGAGGAAGGGAAAGGGATAGAGAGATAGACACATCGATGAGAGAGAAACACCGATCAGCTGCCTCCCGCAGACCCCCCACTGGGGATGTGCCCACAACCAATGCACATGCCCTTGACCGGAATCGAACCCGGGACCCCTGAGTCCGCAGACCAATGCTCTATCCACTGAGCCAAATGGGTCTTGGCTCATCGATGTTTCTGACTCTCTATCCCTCTCTCTTCCTCTCTGAAAAAAAAATCAATAAAATATATATTTTTTAAAAAGAAAGACATAAAGAAAATTAATTCACAATGGTTAAGGTTCTTCTTTTTTTATATTTATAGCATAAACATAAATTAAAGATGTACTTTTATGATTCAATCTATTTAAGGATCTCTGGCACAAAACCATTTTCTTGATGAATAGTTTCTGTGATAAAGGAAAACATTAATGATTCTTCACCAAGTTATAATCTCTAGATTTAGGACAAAGATACCTAAACAGTATAAACTAGTATTCTACAACTTGCCACCTTTTCATGGAAAGATCTCTTACCTCACCAGTTGGAAAATCCGCTTAAGGTAGGACTTAATCTCCTTCACAGCCTCCTGCAGTAGCCGGCGGTTGGCTCCCACGCCCACGTATGTCATTCTATACACGGCAACCAGTGTCTCCACGAGCCTGCCCAGGGGGTGCAGAGGAGTGTCACAGGCCTGAGCAGGGAGAGAATTAACAAAAGAAATACATAGAAGCAAAACCAGGAAAATGACAAAAATGAGCAGAGAGCAGACTTGGATGATATGTTGTGGTTTTGCATCATTGATCCACAAGCCCAGAGTAATTTTGACTCTAGCTTTACCTTTATTAAATATTTCTTGATGTCATCATATTTCTCCACTGAGAAGGCACCAACATGCTGAGGAATGAACTCCAAACTCTCTAGTGTCTGAGTCTGTGAACGACTTAGTATCTCTGGACTATAAAAGAGAAAAGAAAGCCTCTTATGAATTTCACATCAAGAAAGCAAGATGATTGTAATGTGCTTATAAAACAATTGACAATGAAAGGATAAAATGGAGGATCTAGAAGAGCGTTTGCCCCCAATGAGCACATATATGGCTACTGACCTGCTATTAAGTTTATCTAACAGTCATTCAAAGCATCATTTAAGGTGACTTCATAACAACAATAAATTAAAGATTTTACCTCACTATAAACCATGGTGTTGGAAGTTACTATATCAGCCTGAAGAGAAAACTGGTGATAGATTTGTCAGTAATGAGAGAAAAATGGAATAAAATGGAAAGGAAGAGCGAAGGAAAAAAGAAATCAAATCAGAGGGCATAGGAAGAAATAAAAATGAGCTCAAGGAGTAAGGAGATAATGAGGTTGCTACAGCAGGTGGTGAAGCAAGCACATTAATGGGTAAATGGAAGCTTTGGACGAAGAGGCTGACAAAACACACGACTTATAATCGGCAGAAATGTTTGGTAATGGCGTGCTATCATTAGATTATTACCAATCCGAAATTAGGAACAATACACAATCATTATTTTTACACTATTTTAGAGATACAAATAAGATATGGTTTTATATAAAAGTTCATGCATTCTCATTCCTTGGGAACATTAAACAACAGTTCATCCAGGTTCTGTAAGTGAAGGCTGACCATCCGCAGCACACACAAGGGCAAGCTCAGTTTTAGTCAATTTTGGAAGTTTCTATTTTTTCCACTGATGGAGTAGAGGGTAAAAATCATGAACTTCATGAATGAAACACTATAATCAATTCCCATTTATACCAAATACAGAAAGAAAAAAAAAAAAAGAAGACCCAAACTTAAATGCTTAGCAATGTTTGTAAAGTTACTAAGTTAAAAAATAAGACTATGAAAAAGGGCAGATGGGGAAAAGAAAAGCAGGAGAAAAGGATAAGAAAAAGTAGAAAAACAGCCCGGCTGGTATGGCTCAGTGGTTGAGTGTCAACCTATGAATCAAAAGGTCATGGCTGATTCCAGGTCAGGGCTCGATCCCTAGTGTGGGGCATGTAGGAGGCAGCCAATTAATAATTCTCTCTCATCATTGATGTTTCTCTCCCTTCCTCTCTGAAATCTATAAAAAATGTATTTTTTTTTATTTATTTTTTTTTTAAAGAATTTCCTCAAGAGTTTGAGCTCTTGCAAGCTTCCCGTCATGGCTTCCCAAGCAGCTGGCATTGCCCCTTCATGGAAGTAGTGGAGGCCGGAGCATGAGAAAATGGAGGAGAGAAAGAAGTCCCAGTGTTTCTCCCCCACTCTATCTGAGCTTTAGGAGTCTTTTTCGCATCTTGAGCCAAAGCAGAGGTTTTTTTCTGGGTCTCTTGTCAATCTGCAGTAACAGTGCCTGCTTCAACGTTCCAGGTTACACTGCGCTCAGGCTGAGGGATAGTTCAATTTAAAAACCTAGTTAACTCATGACTGGTTCAATGGTCCTTTAAATTCGGATGTTCTTCCCCAGGACACTAGCTGGCATTTACTTTTCAGTGTTCAAATAGCTGTCCATGTATTTGGTGTGGTTTTATAGCCGAGTTCAGTAGAAGAGAAGGTGGGGAGGGAGGTGTTTTATCAGTCTTACCCAGAAAAAAAAAAAGTACACCATTGACTTAAATTATATTTTTAAGTTAAGTGTGCCTTGACTACTCGTTGGTTTTAAGTTTCATCTTCCTCTCACGCACTGCTCTGTGCTGGGCAGGCATTCACCCACCTGTCTCTGTGTTGGCGCCGGTTGGCAGTCAGGGCCACAGCAATGTTGTCCCATGCTTTCCAGACTTCCCCTTGGCCTGGACTTTCACAGCCCAACTGACGCCAACATTCATCAAACACTGCTTTCCACTTCTCATCAGCCGGCACAGCCAGATTTCCTAGTTTCCTGCTATAAAAAGTCATACCACACTTTTATTAATCACCTTTTTTGTGCAAAAATCATAAAAAGAAACTAATAAACAACCGGGAGTGCTTCTGTGTCTGAAGCACTGATGTCGGATCTATTTTTAAAACACTGAATAAAAATTATTAAGTGATGTTTTTAACTACTATTCATACACTAAAGTCTATGAATTGTTAAGTACAAAGCACACAGAATGGATTCCTTTGCTTTCTCCATTTACACAGAGTTGATTTTGTAAAGTTGATTCCTGTTAAAACAAGGACTTTCTGTGCTTTGCTCAACTCATGATAGGAATTGTGAAATACATTGAATACTGGGTTCTAATAATACTCTAAGAATATACATGGTATAAAAAATATATCAAGCTCCCATCAGAACCAAGAATCTGAGATGCTATCAAAAAACAAAGCTAAAGCTGAAATCAATAAGGGAAAATACACATCCAAAATACACATCCAAAAACTTGTTGAGAGAACATAACATAACATAACATAAAGACTTAGATTTTAACTTTCTTTTCCATGAGTGAAGAGTATACTATTCCACTAGTTATATGTATACATGCCTGATCTTTATTTTTCAAATCAAATTAGGTAAGGGTTCCATTTAAGAATGCTCTTTTTTAATGAACTTGGATACCTGCACCATTAACAGTAATATTATTTCTACATACAGAACTTTTGTTTTAAACATCTGTGCTCTAGGGGCTTTAATCTAAACCAAGACTTTAGATTTAGCTAACAATTCAAGGAGGTTATACTTTGATAAAAAAAGAAAAAAAAAAGAAAAAAGAAAAAAAAAAGCCTTCAAAAACTTGCTCTGCTCTTAAAATATTAACCAGCTTTGATAAAAGCAAGACAACTCAAAACATTCAATAATTAATCCAGAATTAACATTAATTACTCACAAAACTTTGGGTTTGTCTTTATCACTCTCATACAGACTAGGCTTAAAGTAGGTTCCAGTGATTTTTATGCCAGATCCCCATTCTCCACTAAAATAACCTTCAATGTAATCTCCATTTGGCATAGTCAGTGTTCCCTAGGTAAAGTTAGAGAAAATGTGGAATTAGAAGAAGTATTTTCAATTTAAAAAACCAAGAGAAAAAACAACACCAAATGGTTAACATTTCCCTTTTTAACTTATTCTTTACCAACCCCCAATTCTTTTTTTTTAATTGTGTGTATATGCAAGTGCAGAAAGGGTATGTGAAAATAAACCCTGTAAAAAAAAAACACACACACAATACTCACAGAAAAAAATTGATAAAATATTTTGAGCTAAATGAAAAGAACACACAATTTATACAAATGCATGGGGTTCTGCCAAAACAGTGCCCAGAGGTAAATTTATAGCATGTGAAAATATGCTATAAAGAGATGTAACATCATTAGTTTTAAGGGAAATGCAAATTAAAATCACAAGATAACACTTCATATCCACTAGAATGGCAAAAAAAAAAAAAAAGGAAGAAAAAGCAGAAACTAAAAAATATTAGCAAAGACATGGAGAAATTAGAAACCTCATACAATGATGGGGGGAATACAAAATGCTGTAGCCACTTGGGAAAACAATTTGGCAATTTCATAATATGTTAATCATCAATTTTCCATACAACTCAGCAATTACACTCATAGGCATCTACCCAAGAGAAATAAAAACATATGTACATACTAAAATTAGAAATAATAGAATACCCATTAACTGATGAAGGAAGAGATAAAACAAAATGTGTTTTTGGAATACTATTCAGCAATAAAAAGGAATGAAGTACTGCATGTGCCTGGGTTGTGGGTTGGATCTCCAACCCCAGTTGGAGTATGTGTGGGAGGCAACTGATTAATGTGCCTCTGTCACATCAATGTTTGAGGGAAGACATCAAAAACGCTGTGCTAATAAGAACCCACACAGAAGAGACCATGAGCTGTATGATTCCATTTATATATCATACAAGCAAACTTAGAGAGTAATCAAGTCCACTAGAGGTTCTCTGGGACTGGGTTAAAAATGAGGGCGGACTTCAGATGGGCAGAAGATGATGACAATAATGCTCCAAAATTGGATTGCAGTGATGGTTATACAACTCTTATTAAAAATCATTGAAACAAGTGAATTTTATGAAGTTAGCTTTTTAAAAAAATCAAGGAAAATGAGTAGCACTGTATTAGAGAGAGATAGAAGTTAGTTTCCAACCTTTCCACTAAGAGTCCAGTCATCCGAAAATTCTCCCTCATAGATAGTATCATCTTCAGAAAGCAAAACCCCATTTCCCTGGGCGAAAAAACAAAACAAAAATCACAATACATAAAATGCAGACAACTTGGGAGTACATATTCCCTAAAGCCTTACTACTTTTAAAGACAAGAAAAATAGTACTAAGAAGGTAGAACATTAATAAATAATTTTAAAAGTTAATGACATAGGAGTTTTTAAAAAATTAATAGTAACTGTGTAAATGTTCCACTCACCATCATTTTATTAAGGTGAAAGTTGCCTTCATAGTATAATCCAAACTGGGTAACTACCACACCATTCCCTTGACATGCATCATCTTGCCACATTCCCATATACTTTTCCCCCCTTCATAGAAAGAGAAAAGAGATGAAAAATCAATGATGATGAAGATGAGGTGGGGGAAAAACAATCATCACATGAAAGATACCAAGCATCGTCCTAGGTTGGTATGTGTTTAAATTTTTCTAGATCAAGTGGTTAATCCAATTGCTTCAAACATGAAACATAAGACAGCACAAGGTGTCTTCCTCAGAGCAATGTTCTCTCAGGGATTAAATATTATAGTCTACCGACAGAGATCTGCTTCTACTCCATGTATATCCATGACAACTCTAAAATATATAACTATTCAAAATGTGATAGGCAAACTCAAAACCTATGAAGATTTTTTATTACTCAAAAGTTTTTATTACCAAAAAAAGAGAAAAAAGAAATAAGGTTTACCATACAAAAGAAATTTTACTCATCTCCACTAAAAAGACAAAATAAGCACAAACTTCTGTTAAATAAGCATAGATTTTAGTAATAACATAAAACTTTTTTTTTTTTGTTAATCCTCATCCAAGGCTATTTTTCCCACTGATTTTTTCAGAGCATGGAAGGGGGGGGGGGGGGGAAGAGAGAGAGAAACATCGATGTGGGAGAGGCACATTAATTAGTTGCCTCTCACATGGGCCCTGACTAGGATTGGGAATCAAAACCACAACCCAGGCATATGCCTTTGACTGGGAATTGAACCTGCAACCTAATGGTCACAGGCCGATGCTCCAACCACTGAGCAACTAACCAGGGCAACAGCAAATTTTTCGCATTATGACAACAACACGAAGGGAAAAGAGTACATAATTAAGTCCAAAGACAAATCAGGCCAACTCAAATATGGGTTCAAAAGAACTTCACACCTCCCCAACGTTTACATGAATTTAACTAAGCTTGATATCTGGATTATGGCATAAAAAAAGATGTTAGACAGTTTCAGACATAATAGCAAAGAAAATTTACTCACTGAAAATTTTGGCTACACAAACATTTAAATTCACATGATTCTTTGAAAAAAGCAACTGTATACCCCCCTCCTGTGTCTGATCTGAGAGGAAGACCTGAGCAAGAGATATTTAAATACCATGCTAGGACTGCATATGGAATTTCCACAGGTAATTTCCTTCTAACCTTTTACCACTCTCATCTATTATATTAATTTCAAGGTTTTTTTGTTTTGTTTTGTTTTGTTTTGCATAATAGTTAATGATTTGGTAGCCTCTTTGAAACACTAAAAACTTTTAAGTGTGAAGCTTTAAGAAAAATAGTACCAATTTTAATTTTAAATGATCCTGACAATATAAAGAAGTAACCTATAGTTTGGTTCACAAATAAATGAATAAAATGATGTCTGACATGTCTTCTTATTAAAATTTTTCTCAACATTATCGAATAAAGACAGTTAGCCTTCATAGAATCATCACTATTTTTGGAGAAATACTTTGAGATTAGAAGCAGAATACTGTACCTTGTGATATCATCAAAGACACCATATCCTGATTTCTTATCCATTACCCACTGGCCAATGAACATGCTGGGAGAAGAGGAAGTCAGTTTTCCACTTCGTAGGAGACCGTGACCATGACGCATGTTATCTTGAAAACAACCTTCAAACACTTCACCAGAGGCATAACTGTGGTTAAAAGGGATGGATAAACATCACATCACATTTAATTTTTATGCTTATTTTTGCAAAGTTAGGAAACTTAAAAGTATATTCATGTCTTACTGGTAATTATAATGATTAGTTATATGATTATTTTTCGCCAATCAAATCTCATTTCCAATAGGAAAATGAAATGAGTGATCTCTGAAAGAATGATAGATTTGTCCATATTAGAGTCATATAATAAACATAAATTTATAGGCAAGACATTTAGAAGAGCCTATGTGAAAGTAAGGGTTTATAAAGTTTGTAGTTTTGTTACGAACTAAATAAAAACCTAATACTTTCATCTTGTGATAGAACTTAAAAAAAAAATACTTTAGTTTCAGACATAAGAGCAAAGAAAATTTACTCCTTGAAATTTTGGCTATACAAACATTTAAATTGAATGTTCTTTGAAAAAGCAACACCAGTCCTACAACCTTTCCAAAGTTATTACCTATAGACTCCCTGACCACACATCTTTCCTTCTTTCCAATGGCCCACATAATGGTCTTCTTTGCTCAGTGCTTTGTTTGGGATTCTGTATTCTCCATACCTGCCAGGAGAATGAAAAAGAGCAGATACATGTATGACATAGTCAACTTTTGCATGTAGACACTTGTAAACATTTTAATGAGGAGAGAAGATTTACCAATAGGAGGAAAGGAGTATACGAAGTCTTGATTTACCCTGTATCTATTACCTAAGCTGCTGGGCAAATATCAAAGGAGTGAGATATCAACCCCACTATGCAGAGAGATTAAATGTTTTATCACAGGTCCAAAGCAAAACAGAAAACCTGTGTCCTAGGTCTATCACTGCCACTTAGTAGCCACATCATCCTGGGTAAGTCCTGGTACCCCGAACCCTCACTTGTTTAATAAGGGGGGGTAAATCAGATTATTTAAAGTCTCTTCTTATCCCTAAAGTTCTAGCAAATAGGAAATTAAAAGACATCACAAAAACATATTATCGCATATACACAAAATCAGCTACCCAATCTATATAGTAATATTTAGTAAAATAATGACTTCTCTATCATAATACAAAATAATTCATTGCCATTAGTTCATCATATAAATATATTTAAGAATTAGAAAGCATGACAAGCTTATAAAAAAGTAATGCCATTGAGTATCAATAGGATAATATAGAACTTATAAGATTTTCCCTTTAGCATCTCACAGAAATTAAGATGATTTTAAACCACATAAAGAAAAATTTCTGTATGTCCTTTGTACACAGGGGGCAGCAACATTCCAACAGTCTCACCATCTACATCGCCCAAGGTTCTGTCTTCACAATCGAGAAGTGGATAGAAAACACAGTCCCATTTTAACAGGTGCAAGGCTGGCTGTGTAAACTGAGGCCACCCCGCTGTCAAGGTCATTGATTCACTCTAGGTAAACCAAGGCTGCACCCTAGATTCCTAGCTTTCCGTGTTCACACATCTGCATTACAGACCTTAATACATGGTATGTATTTCTAGTAAGAAAAACAAAAAAATCCACTACTTGTTTTGAAAATGACTCTGATCACAAAATAACATAACTTGTGACTGAAGTTACCCTCATGAATTTATCCTCATGTTTTACACAATTTTCTTACCCATCTTCCAAGCCATTCCTGAACATGCCAGAATACATCTTTCCATCTGGCCACTTCAAAACCCCTCTGAAATGCACAAACAAAGAATAATACATGTCAAGTAAGGTCTCAGATAATCGTTACTTTCTCAGTAATTAGACTATCACCCTCACCCCGGGCATAAATCTTAAACATTTTTACCTTCCATGAGGCTTCCCTGAAAACCAGCGTCCATCATAGGTGGCATCCTTCAGGCGAGGATCCTTATAGAAAGTGTACTTAGCACTGCGTGAAATGGGCGGCTCCTGCCTCTGAACGCTGCTGCCACCTCCGTAAGGTGGATGTTCAGATGCCCCTCTCAAGGCCTGATCCACAGCCTGGCTGAGAGCCCGTAGCCACTTAGTCTAGGAGAAAAAAGGAAAAAAAAGTGCCAGTGAGCTTAAGGCAGTAACTCATCATGCATTGTGTTGAGTCCTGCTAGCTGTTCTTGATGTGAATAATTTTTATGCCTTTCTAGTGCTTTTCATATTGAGTAATGCTGACTGGTTCTTGGAATTCACTGCTATTTGTTTAAAATAAAGTCACACACATTAAAAAAGTCTATAGTCTTAGTTTAATGAAGATTTATCACATAATCACAGATCATGAGCTAAGCGAGAACAATTTTTATCTCTTCTTTACTATCATAAGAGACAGGAATATTGAAGTTAAAGATGGAAATAACATAGCATACTGGACTCACCTTTTCCTGGGGTGTTGATGAAATGAGAGTGAACTGCTCCTCAGGTGTAGTTATCTTCAAACCATTCCTAAAACATTCATAAGGATAAATACCAGTAGGTATGAGAACCTGTCATTACAATATGAATCCTCACACATGAAAAGCAACTTGTTTATTACAAGAGGAGCAGAAGTCAATTAAATGTAAACGTAGCCCTGAGCTGGGTGTTCCTCCCAGGGTAGAAGAAAGGACAGTTACTTTGCTCTGTGTTGAATGATGGGGATGTGAGCAACAGAGAAGCCCTTCCATCACTTATGATCTGTCATGACTGTCATGACAACAGCCACTTTACTATCTCCATGCTGGGAGGGAAAGCCTCATTATGCAGAATGGAGAGGCCTCCTAAACCTTTTTTCACATCTAAGATTAGTAACCTGGGTAACAGAAGAGAGAATTAGGGTAGAGGTGGGGGTAGGAGCCATACTTACACAGCACCTGCTTCTTCAGAAAGTGGCTCTGCCCATATGGTGGCCAAAGGGAAAACATGGTGTGTGGAGAACTGAAACAAAAACATGGAGACACATCTGAGAAAGCCATGTTCTGTGCTGCATAACCTGTTTCAAATAGCTAAGTCCATATGGTGTCACTATCGCAGCCAAATAGTCCCCATAACATAGCAAGAACCCTGTCACATGGCTGTTACTCACTTTCAAGATGTAAACTAAAAAAGCTCCCTGAAATCTGACCCATACCAGAAATGTAAGCTAAGTATTTGCTGTCATTCAGGTTTCAGCCAAATCATAGACTGATTGTATAAGCCTATATAATAAAAGGCTAATATATAATACAAATAGACCGAACAGCAGAACTGAACAATCGGTCACTATCATGTGTGCTGACCACCAGGGGGCATGTGCGGATCATAGCGGGTGTTGGCTCCAATGGGATGATGGAGCATGTGAGCAGGGGCGCCAGACCAAGGCGGGGCACTGGTCGCTGTCATCATCAGGGTGAGCCTCTGGTGGTTACTGAAAATTCTTTGCTGCCACTTGCACCCACCAAAGGGGCCAGCCCTGCTTGTACCTGCTGCTGGTGCTGGCCCTAATCATTTCACACCATCAACGGATGCTGGTGCCATCAGCAGTGGGAGTGGTGATGGCAAGAGCAGGGCTATAGGTAGAGAGGGAACTGGGAGCCACAGCGGGAGGGCTCGGGTGGGGTCTCGGAGGATGGGCTGAGAACTGCCCCTGTGCCTAATGCAGATTCACGGCCCACAGTTCCTTTCAAGGTGCAAGAATTCCTGCACTGTGTCCCTAGTTAATTAAATAAGTAGAATACTCCACTTTCCCTCCAGTGTTTTTTTAAGGTGAGGAATCCGGCCTACCTGGGCATGGACCAGTGCATCATTAAAGAGAATGAACCAGTTCACAGAGAACCTCCCAGCATGCTGCAGAGATAAGGCTCGGTTACTGCTCTCACACAGCAGCCGGCGCTCTGGCTTCCTTAAGGAATCCTGGAATTAAAAATAAATATAAAATCAAATCACCAGAATTATTTTAATATGCAAAGGGCAAAATAAAAAATATACAATAATACATTTAGGAAACCTGTTGGTCCTAGCTTAGCTTGATGTTAAACCTAAATTTAAATGCAATCCAAATATACCATAAAATTAGCAACCAAAGGAGATGAAAAAGATTGAAACAAACAAAAGAAAGTGAGACACATGTTCGGAGAGGATTACTAGGAATGAGGAAAGGAGATGTTTAGAACATCCACGGCTGTGGTCCTTAGACCACCCTTGGCAATGGGTATTAAAGCATTCTCACCACAAATGAGTGAGGAATGAAGGAAACGGTGGCAGTTGTTACGGATATGCCTGCTGTTTGCTGAGGTCATGGCAGTTGGCATGGCCTACTTACCGTCATTTTGCCAGGGAAGGTCTTCCAGAAGCCCAGGGTGTATTCTGCTTCCTTCCTTTTCCTGCCGAGATGGAGAGCAAGAGACTCATAACAAGAACTGGAATCCTGCAGTTTCTGGTATTCTGGAGATGTCTAGAGGCCAATATATCAAAGGGGGAAAATAATATAAAACAATTGTCCAGAATCTGTAGCCTCTGTGTGGTTCAGATACTTAGTATTAAATTTAGGGAGTAAATACTGCTGATATACTAAATGGAGCTGAGCAAAAAGCAGAATAGTTCCAGAAAATTCTGTAGCATATAGATAAAAAAGAAATAGAGAAATAAATCCAGGGTGGAAGAAACAAACACTGGTAATTATTAGTGAGTAGAGCAGTAGAAAACTCAGGATAGCCCTAACTGGTTTGGCTCAGGGGACAGAACATTGGCTTGCAGACTCAAGGGTCCCAAGTTCGATGCTGGTCAAGCACATATAGCTTGGTTGCAGGCAAATCCCCAGTAGGGGTGTGCAGGGGGCAGCTGATTGATGTTTCTCTCTCATTGATATTTATAACTCTCTCTCCCTCTCCCTTCCTCTCTGTAAAAAAATCAATAAAATATATTAAAAAAGAGAAAAAAAATAAAAGAAAACTTAGGATAGACTGGGAACTTCAAATGTTTTGTTCTCATGTTCCCTCCATTTTGCTTATATGGGTTATATATGTTGATATTCACCATATTAGAAGATACAGTTGAGAAATAAAACTATTTTTAATTTACTTCAAATACAATAACATTCTATTTTTATAATATATTTTTATTTATTCCAGAGAGGAAGGGAGAGGGAGAGAGAGATAGGAACATCAGAATCTTTGATCAGCTGCCTCATGCACACCTGTGCCCTGAGTGGGAATTGAACCATGACCTCCTGGTTCACAGGTTGATGCTCAACAATTGAGCAATCAATAACAATACAATAACATTTTAAATAAAAAATAACAAATTTTCCTAAACAAAAAAATTTTTTTTAGTGAGAAAGTGGCATTGTTCTACAATTTTTTCAAATCTCTTTATCATCTGGCTTAAAAAATGATAACTGCTATTGCATTTAATCTTTTAGGGTTGAAATATAAGAAGAAAATCTTGCTTTATAAAAATATATTGCTAGGAAAGAAAAGAGTATTTCAATAGTCATTTTAAATAATTGTGGATATTCTTCTCTGAAACAGGGTAGAAGAAACAAAAAAGGTATCTGATTGTGGAGTCTGTATTTTTTACATAGAATTTGGACCCTTGAGACTAGAAATAGAACAATATCACTCTTTTTTTTTTTTTTTAATATATTTTATTGATTTTTCACAGAGAGAAAGAGAGAGGGATAGAGAGTTAGAAACATCGATGAGAGAGAATCATCGATCAGCTGCCTCTTGCACACCCCCTACTGGGGATGCACCCGCAACCAAGGTACATGCCCTTGACCGGAATCGAACCCGGGACCCTTCAGTTCCCAGGCCGACGCTCTATCCACTGAGCCAAACCAGTCCCGGCATAGAAATAGAACAATATCACTCTTTTCACAATTCCAAGTTTTCTAGGAGGGAAGGTTTTTAATTAATTGAGGATATATTGAGGTAATATCTGTATCTCATTGGGTTGTTTGTGTAGCAAAAATCTTCATTGCTAAAACTAAGTCAGTTTGGGTTAAACTAAAGAAATCACCTACAGGACCCCAGTAGGATCAAATGTAGATAGCCTATATCAGTTCTTGGGTCACTCTGGAGACTGAAATCTACCCAGATAAAGAAACAAAGTTTAATAAGATTCTAAACTATAAGGAACCCTGAAGTCATCATGGTTTCTCTAGAACCCTTCACACAGGAAATGAAACGAAACTGCACATTTCAGTACAACTTCAAAGGCGAATATCTCAAGACCAGTTTTATCATACACCCACTTCTTAAGAGCAGTGTTGATTTTCTAGGATTCCACTTAACTAATTTTATACAGAAAGTAGACCAGCTAACATATGATGAAATCCTGTAACACTGTGATTTCTCATAGCATATGCCATGGTGACCTAAATACCTGGTATTAATCTACCAGGAGTCCAGGCGAGGGCAACTCCACAGCCTTACAGGTGTGTGTTGTTTATACAGAGAGCCTGTGTTTGAAAGCTCTGTGTAACTTGTACTCAGTGTGCACTTGGTAAACTTTAACATTTATTGAATGACTAGCACTCATACTTGGCTCTCAACTTTATACACGGTTTCATAACATGAGTACAACTTATCTCAATAATATTCTGAGAGGAAACTGAATCCACCGCCAAGAAAACTAGATTTACCTATAGCTATACATTTTTCTTTAACTTCCCTGAAGAAAAATAAAGTTAATTAAATATATATAAATATTAAATTAGTAGAATTCCAGGTTGTAGAGTGGCATAATCCTAACAAACAAACAAGCAAGCAAATTAACTATGACCCTTGGCTTCCCAAGTGTCCAAAGAAAATACATACGGGGCTTACCACTTCAAAACAAGTAGCAAGCTTTAGCAAAACTTCTGCATAATTATGAAGTCGTCTAGTTGGCAAGAAAAACAAAGTATTCAGTATTTCTATCAACTGCATGTTTTCATCAGTCACTTCTGATAAATCTTGCAACAGCTCTTGGTTTTTATTTAGGAAATCACTGGAGGTGGAACAAAAAGAGATTAAGTTAATCATTTTGGTAATGACAACATGCATGATACTGAATAAAAATATTTCACTAGATCCTACCTTTCCCAGAATGCACATCTCTAGGTGTTATGGAATAGTAGACAATCAATAAAATAAAATAAGCCAGATATAATTAAAAGAGTTTCTCTGCCTACAAGATGGGGTTTTTTTAAATATGAAAAGTAGCAAATGGTAGGTAGGAATAAGTAACTCCATAACAGAGATGATTAATCTCAGATTTGTGCCTCATGTTCTAGGAAATAACTCATGCAACTCACCATTTCAGGGAATACTTGAAGACCAGCTAACATCATTATCTATTAATTTCTAAGCCAAAAGTCACAGCAAAAAAATTGCTCTAATCAGTTGTGATAAACAGAAATACTGGAGGGGAAAAAAAAAACAAAACTCTTTGCTCCACTAAAATTGGCATGAAATGTTAAAATACGTCTAATTTCTTCTTTTTATTAAGTGTTGGTCACCTAATAAGAGTTTACTACAGGAGAGTAATAGAGCTGTAGGTACCAGTACTATAATGAACAGGAAATAATAAAGCAAATTATATTCAAATATTTCAATGCTGAGATCTTCAAAAGCATTTCAAATTTCAGCCAACATTTAATTTTCATACTCAATTTTATATATAAACTCATTAATTAACATTTTACTGTAAACTTTAATGTCCACTGGGACTATACTCACTAGACCAAATACTTTTATAAAAAAGAAAGAATTCATGTGACAGAATAATAATTATCTGCCACTTAATGAGCAATTATGTGCCAGGCCTGAGTGCTTTACGAGCATTATGCTACAATTCTAAGCTACAAGGCCTCAAATAAGACAATGCCACACAAGACTATAAGGCAAGAATGAATCATTTTATAATCCCTCAGGGAACTATGAAATAAAAAAGAAATGCTAAGTCAGAAGCTATGAAATGTTATTGTGGAAAGATGGAAAAAAATGTGTAATAACTTCCAGGAACCCCAAAGTTCAATGGCACAAACTGGATTCTTTTATAATGCAATTAAGAGAGAATGACCTGGGGAACTGGCCCAGAGTTTTATTTGTACTTGGCTTGTGTGACTGTTTCTGCTTCCACCTCTGTGTTGTGCTGCTGAGATACCTTGAGGACACTAGCTTACGCCTTTACAAGTGTTCTGCTTTGACCTGCTCCTGAGAGAAGGGCATATTACATGGCAAACACATACTCTGACCATGTTTCTCCTGAAAGCCCAGCACTAGACAGAAATGTTCCAACTTTTGTGAACCCCATTAATTTTCAGGATTTATTTCCTTGCCTATAGACTTTCCCAAGAGGGGCCCTCGTATGCTCTCAGGAAATCTGAACCAGAAACTGCGTAGCTTCTCTTTCTTAGGTGTTGTTGATCTAATAGTGACAATACTGCTCTTCCCTTACATGGCTAGGTTTATACTTGTTACTCAAAAAAATAATTATATTAAAGAGAGAAACAACCCAAACGTCCATCAACAGATGAATGAATAAACAAAATGTGTTGTATATATACAATGGAATATTATTCAACCATACAATGGAATAAAATTTTGGTATATACAACATGGAAGTACTCTGAAAACATGATGCTTCGGGAAATAAGTCATATACAGAAGCACAAATACTGTATGATTTCTTATAGAATAGGCAATTCATAGACAGGAAATAGAATATAAGTTACCAGGGGCTGTGGGAAGGGAGAAAAGGTAACTTATTGTTTAATGGGTACTGAGTTTTTGTTGGGGATAATTTAAATTAGTCTTGTTTATAGGTAATGGTGTTACCTATAACATCAGAGAAGGGTACAATTAGGAATGGTAAAATGATAAATATTATGTTATGTATATTTTATAATAATAACAATTATTATTATAAACCCTATATAATGATGAACCCAACAGACTAGCCTGAAGTAAGCAGCTAAGTGATAAACCAGCTAAGTGATGAGAGCCTGCGCCTTATTATCCAAGATCCACACTTCCACGTAGGCTCGCTAGTTATGTTCTGGGCTCTAGAGGTTCTCAAACTGCTCTCTTTTAAAATGAATACTTTAAAATAATTTCAAATATTGACTTGATATGAATGATAACTGGAAGGTATCTGCTTACATGGCAGGCTTAGCGAGCAGCTGGAATCCTCCCATAACCAGGAAATGTGTAATAGATGTACAATACCTTCAGCAAAAAAGAAAACATGTACATTAGTGTTCAAGTGCATATTAGTTCTGAGTTTCTGAACAAGCATCCAGCATCTCTCCAATAAGTTTCAGCATTTTTATGATATCAACATTCATGAACTATAAAGGACTGAAGAGAAGGGCAGGTTATGTGATAATCACAAAATCTGGGGGAAGGAAAAAAGCCATCTTAGTAAAGATGCTAACATGATAAAAAATTTTAAAAAACACTCACCTAAAGCTATGCAGAAGATGTTAGAATGTATCTGGTAGATTTTACTTAGTAACTTAACAAATCTGAGAAAATATGATTAACATGGTTGAACATGATTCCATGACCTCTTGGTACATGGAACCATGTTCACCCATAGTCAGGGCACATGCTCCTGGTTGCAGGCTTGATCCCTGGTAGGGATCTCTCTCTCTCTTTTTTCCCTTTCTCTAAAAAAAAAAAAAAAAAAAAAAAAAAAAAAAAAAAAATCAGCCCTACCAGTTTGACTTAATGGATAGAGTGTCAGCCTACAGACTGAAGGGTCCTGGGTTTGATTCTGGTTAAGGGCACGTTCCTCAGTTGCAGGGTCCAGGGTAAGTGCAAGAGGCAACCAATGTTCCTCTACATCGATATTTCTCTCTGTCTTTCCCTCTCTCTAAAAGTCAATGGAAAATACCCTCGGGTGAGGATTTAAAAAAAATGATGTTGAAAAACAAACATAAATAATAAAATAAATTTTAAAAAATCAGTAAGAGCATATTAAAAAAATGGTTACAATGGTAAAGTTTATGTTACATATATTTTATACCATAATTAAAAATAATTTTTAAAATTCATAAATAGCCCAGCCAGTATAAATCAGTTGGTTGAGCATCATCCCATATACCAGGAGGTCATCGTTTGATTCCCAGTCAAGGCATGCACCCGGGTTAAGTGCTTAACCCCCCTGTAGAGGGGCATGCAGGAGGTAGCCGACTGATGTTTCTATCTCTCTCCCTATTCGTTCCTTTCTCTGAAATCAATAAAAACATATTTAAAAGTTAAAAATTTACTTGTTTCATCTGTATGAATAAATTATGTTAAAAAAGAACCCATTATATCAAAATAAAAAGCATTTCAAGCATAAATTCTGAAGTATCAGAGAAGAAAAAGAATTGAAACAGACTGCACTGAATATAAGTAAAAAAAGAAAAATTATGCTACTAAAAACTGAAACCTTCACACAAACAAAATTTAGCTCAAAAAAGCAAATTGGTTTCAAATTATGTTATTTTCATGTCTGAAAGATGATGAGTTAAAAGACTACAACCAGAGTCTTTTCCACTCACACAATAGCTTCAAGTATATTAAACTTTGCTGAGAATTAAAATCACATACCTCCATTTGCACATATATGATAAGTCCAAAGGAAATACACTAAGATTATGAACAATGCTTATTTCTGGGTGGGAGGATTATGGACGCCCTAAACTGACTAGCTTGCCTTGTACAGCTGTCAGTACCCAACATTGTTTATAGTCTAAATAACCCACACAGAACACCAACAGCACATGACTCCTGCGCTGTGCTCTTCCCTGGCTCTGCCCTGTGCTGCCGAGGTCCTGGAGCTGTGTACAGAGCCCGGCACTTAGTTGCTATTCAGTCAAAGGAGAAAACCTACACTTCAGATGAACAATAAACATTAATAGACATTAAAATAACACTTAAATTATATCTCACATCACAATGTCAAACTATAAATTAAGAAAAAGTGAGAAATATTTAAATTTTCAAATAGACTTGGGATAGTTTACTTGAAAAACATGAAAAGAGCCTTAAATAACTATCCTTGGTTTTATTTAGAGAGCATCTTTATTTTCAAAGAGAGATTGGTCTTTAAACCCTCCATTCCCTTGAAACAGCTCCACATTTGCAATCAGTAATCGGTCTTGAAATAATTTATTTAATAACTTATTTCCTCAAAGTTTAGTATAATTTACTTAAGTATACAACTTTGTTCTTTAAACGGAATGTTTATATATTCATATTTATTACAGTATACTTTATGCTAGGATATAGAAAATATGAGAATTATTTTTAAAGCTTTTTTCCCCCTTAGAAAAACAGTACAATTTTAGCAATGTAGAACTATAGTTGTCCTAAGATTAAAATACTGCTTTGCAATTTCTATTACCTTATATCACTCTCCCTAATCTAGTCTCCTCTGATTAAGGAGCTGTTCTTAGCAGAAAAACCCTGCAGAGGTTGAACATGACACGGGACTGGATACTTGCTCTGTGTAACTATCCAAGAAGAGACTGGCATGCTTCAGAATGACCAGGCTCCTGGCTTCCTTGACCCCTTGAAGGAAGCTGCTCAGTGAGGCTCCATGCTGCCCAATTAAGTAACACAGCTTACTGAATCGGCTTGCCACTTCTTGCAACAGCTGGACAGTACTTGCGGTGCCCAAATTTTCTGTAACAAAATGATGATGATGATGACATAACCTAAAGATTTATTTCCTGAATACTTCCTTACAATTAGGATTATGAATTTCCCTTTTCTTTAAGAATTCTCAACTGTGGAACCCCAATAATCACATAGTTAAAGAAAGCAACTTCAGAGGCCACAGAATCAAGTCACTGAGGAACTTGCTAAAGAAACCCTCACAGGGGCCCCACAGATTCTGACTCAAGAGGCCAGGGTTAGATGGATAAGTTAAAAAGAAAAGTTTTTGAGGTAATTCTGCAGGTTCACCAAATGTGAGAGCCACTGAGCCAACCCAACTCTCCTCCCATTTTGAAGATAAGTAATCTGAAGCCAAGAGAACGGAAGTACCTAATTTCACACAACTGGTGAGGGACAGCCAGGAATTAAACTCACTTCTATAGTTACAGTTTGGTTAACATTTTCAACTTTTTGTACTTCTACTCAACTTATTCTTTGGACAAGCCCACCACTTCAGCACAGAGAGGGCAATCCAAACCCTACACTTCCCAGGTTGCTCTAAACTGTACAGAGGGCATCAGGAGCCTATGTGCTCTTTTCCGATCCAGAGGTCCTAGTTTCTAGGACTTCTCTCCGGCCATAAGGCTGACGAGCAGACCAGGGGAGACAAACACAGAAACTGGCCTCACCTAGCAGCATTTTCTTTCCTGTCAGAGCACTCCTGGAAGCCTATAGCTTGGACTGCTTCCTCCCCTTGCCAAAGTCCTAGGGTATTGGGTCCACCCACTGAAGGGGAATTTATAGAGCAGGGGACTCTACTACATTCAAAAAAGCAAAATACCTTTTCCTTTTTTCTTTTTTTTAATTCAGAGTTTCTAACATACAAAGAAAACACTAAGTTAGTTGTTTGAAAAGTAGATGTTTTCCCACTGAAAACAATGAACAATGATCCATACAAGCCAATGTCGCTTCACTGTGGAAAAGCTGGTGCACTAAAGAGGTAGAATTTAGTACTAGAATATTGGCCTGAATTGTGAGTCCTCAGAGGGGCCCATTGAGTACGGGAGATAGAAAGAAATAAAACTTCCTCTCCATTTTCTGAGTGCAGGGCCAAACCTAGAAAATTTTTTAAATAAGGCCCAGTGTGGCTTAGTGGTTGAATATTGACCTATGAACCAGGAGGTCACCGTTCTATTCCCAGTCAGGGCACATGCCCAGGTTGTGGGCTCAATCCCCAGTGTGGGGCATACAGAAGGTAACCTTTCAATGATTCTTTCTCATCATTGATGTTTCTTTCTCTCTCCCCTCCTCTCTAAAATCAATAAAAAATATATTTAAAAAAAAAAAAGAAGAATCTAATTTCATCAATTTATGCTAATGTGGGATAAGACCCTAGCACTCTTACAGTTATCAACAAATTCAAATCAATCTCTACTTAATTCTAGGAACTATAACAAAGACAGTGTGTAATACATCTTAGGGCTGGTGGGGCCAGAGTTTTGTTTGGAAGTCTAGCTCCTAGGATCAACTGTCCCAAAGCTATTTCTGCTTCTCTGCCATGAATATTCCAAAAGCTCCATTTTCTACTTCTACAGCGGAAGGAGCTCCGGAAGTGGTAGGATAGGAGAGCGGCAGCTGGGCCACTGAAAACGCGGGAATGGTTTGCAAGGTGTTGGCTGCCTGTGTACAAAAAGAAGAGAATGGAAAGCAAGCAGCAAACCATTATGCAAATATAGGAAGAACAGGTAAAACAAGAGTGTTCTACTTACCTAAACTGAGAAGAGGCCTGAGAATCTGAGATTTGATGTCACTTAGTTTTGAATAAAACCTTCTTTCTGTAGCAGCCAACTCATGGAGACTGGCAATATACCCCATAATGTTCTTGTCCACCAAGGCTAGATAGCTGTCTTTTCCAGCTGCCACTCTGCTTATATATCCAAGCTAAAACACAGGACAAGAAAAGATTAAAGATAAGATATACTTTACTAGCAGCAATTTGGACACTGCAGCTGGTTTATATCAGCTGGGGAGAAGCCAACTGGCAAATATTCAGGAATTACTGGTAGCTTAAGTTGGCAATAATAAAATCATAAACAAAATGGGCAAAGACTACAGATCAGGGCTTTTGGCTTTGTTTTGATGTTAATTTTAGAGATGGTTTACCAGTACATCAGAATTATATATTTATATCTGTAACTATAACTAACTATATACACTATACTTTTATTTGTTGCCAAAAAACCTTTTATTTCATATTATATGTGCTCAGTACCACAGACACACACTCTGAATATACAACGATCCAAATGATGTAGATAGGATTCCTTTTTGCATAAAATAGGACAAATGAGAGCAAAGAGGATGCTGTGTTATAAACCAAAATAACAGAGGTCTTGGAGTTATCTTGTCTTTTAAAAGTACTTTACAACATAAAGGGATTTTATCTAAAAATGTACTTTTTTCACTTATTTATGACACCACTGAATAAAAACATTCAATGCCTTTATTCACATATGCCTGTTTAATAGGCATATGTGAATATGCTGCAGACCCAATCCTATCAAATAAAGAGAGAATATGCTAATTGACTGTCATGCTCTCACAAAGATGGTGGCACCCACAGCCAATAAGAAGAGAATATGCTAATTGACTGTCATGCCCTCAAAGACCGCCCAGTCTCCTCAGACCCACTGGGGTGGCAGGCATATGGCATGGCCAATTAGTGTGTGTGGAGTATCAGGCTATATATAGTTTAAGAGCCAAGTCTCAGCCAGTGTTGCCTTCAGCATGGAAGAGCTTGTCCGGGTACATTCACAGCTCACATATTTAGCCAGAAAAACACCAAGGATAAAAAACAGTCCATAGGATATATTATTCAGTAAGAATAAGAAATCCAGAATGAACTAGCTTGGAGGGTTAATTTCCTTGAAGGCACAGAGCTTAGAGGATGTGAGTTACCTTAGTGGGGGGAGAGGGGAAAACACACTAGAAACTGGCCAATGATTTAAGTTTATGAAAAAGAATGAGAAAGTAGGAAAGCAAAGAAATTCAGATCAACAAATGAAAAAGGGATGAACAGTAGTACATAAAGTGAAAAGCTAGGAGAAACAGGGAAGTGATGGCAAACAGGTCACTGTGGTGGCCTGTGGCCCTTGGGATTTTTACTGCCACTTAGTTAAAAATTTATCTCTATTTCTATTCTAATTCACCTCTGAGAGATCCACAAATGCAGTCAAGAAACGTCACTGCAAAACGTACTTTTTAATATTCCTACAAGAAGATGTTAATTCAACAAATAAAGTATTTACTATGAGGATATAGCAGTACATACGAAATCCTAAAATCTCGACTTTTATGAATCTTACAGATAAGGACAGACAATAGACAAATAAGTTATGTAATGTGTTAGTGATATGCACTGTGGATATAAGTCAGGGAAGGGGGATAAGGAGTGAAGGAGAGGATGGGAAGGGCTTGCACAGTAGTGTAACACAGTAGTCAAAGATACTTAGTAACAGGCATATGCACAAATGACAAAAACAAAGTATTTCTCGTGTGTTACAGAATGTGGGCCTTAGGATCCAAGTCCTGTTCACCTTACTACAGGAGAGAAGTACTGGAGCCTTAGTACCACTGGGATTCTCTGGAAGGTTGTCACCTTCTGTATGGTCCTGCCGGCCACTGTAATATAACCCAGGCTGGAAGTCTTCTGTATCCACTAAAAACAGGGAATAATCCTGGCCTGCAGCTACACTCCAGACTCCATTGTCACTCTTTACCTGTAACGACAGCAAGATATTGTCGGTCCAAGATGAGGGAATGAGGCAGAACTTCAGGTCCACAGGAACTGAAATATTAGCTTACTTAAACAAGTGTGGTGCAAAGGGTAAATTTTCCCAGCAATGTACCCAATCAAACGCAGAAAAAACAGGGGAAAGAAGAAATCCTCTGTTAGTTTTAAATTTAGAAATGGATTGTTTTTTATAACGTAGAATTCGGGAATAAGTTACTACAGAAGTTTATCAAGTTCACAAAAGTACCTTTGCAAGACGAGGAACAGTTGTTGGAAAATCGGAATGCCCAAGTTGGCCAAAGGTATTGCTGCCCCATGAGTAAACCTATTAGAAAATCACAGGAAAGTAGGTAAGAGTAGTGAATCTAACTTTGCATGTCAATTCTGAGTCTTTAAAATAACATATATACTATATTGTATATATACCAATAGTTACACATAAATTACTTATACTAGCCTTCCCACAAATTACTTATATCGATACTAGTCTTTCTACTCGGAAATTCATTTTAAAAAGACCAGAGATAACGGGCAGACAGCACAGTTTTACAATATTTTATGTGGCTAATATTTCTGTTCATTTTCAGAATTTATGTGGCTCATTGCCTATGCTTATTCTCCTAGAATACCCTGGAAAATTTCAAGTTCTGTTTTTAGATGAGTGCACATTATAGAAAGATTCTCTTACAGGTATACCTTAAATCCAAACTCTACTATCACCTGTGTGACTTTAGACAAGTTATGTAATTTCTCTAAACCCCCCTTCCCCATCTGTAAAATGGAAATAATGCAATGCAATGTAAAACACTGGAAAGATCAAATAAGATATGAGATTGTTGCTTGACACATAGCAGATACTCAAGAAATAATGGTCCAATCTTGTCACGTTGGCCTTCCATGAAATTAAAATCAGCTTGTAATAGTTTGCCTCCTACCTGGGATTTCGCAGTAAGTGCAAGGGAATGGTAGCCACCTGCCTCTAGGTGAATTATCTCTTTACCATCCAGACATTTTACACACAATGGTTGAAGCCTTAAAGAAAAACATAAACACACAAACTCAAAAAAGTATTCTCAGCATGAATCATGACTTTTCTCAAATTATAGAGTAAGTACTTTCAGGTAATAATACACATTTCAAAAGAAAACATTGCAATTAAAATGATGGACATATGTTCAATTACTCCTAAATGTAATTTTGGATGGTTTCAACTTAATTTTTATCTATCAATCACAAATTAACCACCATAATTCAGAACTTGTTAAGAATCATCAAACTATTAAATGATTCATACAGTAAAGAGATACTTAGGACACAATGCAACCATAGAGGGAATAGACATTAACATTAACTGTTTTAGATAATCATTCCAGTTACACACCTTCACAAATGGCTAACTTGTTAATATCATAGGAGTTCCTCTTAAAACAAGTTTTTCCTTGAGGCACGTAGATAGACATGGCTTAATATTGCAGCTATAGTTATTCTGGCAGTTGAGAAACATCTTTCAGGTTAAAAAAATTGCTGGGTGTTTTTTTAATATAAGTTAAAAATTTGAACCATGCAAGGGTTCCTATGAAATACAACTTTATCCCAAATGTGCCCTTTGTGTTCCAAGATGTATATACAGGGACGGGCAAAAATAGGTTTATAGTGTGAGTATGCGAGACAGAGTTTATTCTTGTATTTATTAATTACTGTATTATTTTCCATACGAATAACTGTTAACCTGCTTTGCCCTACCCTATACATCAAAGATGGGATGAAGACGTATGCCATGAATACTTAAGTCATTTATTGTTGGGAAAAAATTCAAGATTAAGACCACAGTTGTTTTTTAGCTCAGAGTTAATGGTCTGAGGTAGAAGAGACCGAATTTCCTTGACGGGGAAATAAAGATTGAGAAGCCCCCGCAGGAGTCCCTTCTGACAGCGCGCCCTGGCAGCACTCACCTGGGCAGGACGTCACCATGCCCCAGCTGCCCTTCCTTCCCTTTGCCCCAGGTCCACACCTCTGTTCTCAGGGAAGGCAGGAGCGCGTCTGCTTCTCCGCTGTATGTCGGGGTCAGAACCACTGTCCGTGTTTTCACGCGTGCAGCCTTTCTTAGCAGCCTGGGGGACACTGAACACAACCAGAGACGGGGTTAGGGAGTAGATGGGGGGATGGGGAAAGGTAGAGATATCATTTTGATAAACTGCTGATTTTCAAAGAAATACACTAACATGGTTTTGTGTGACGCATATTCACTAAGCTCTGCAAAAATGGGGATTTAATAGTTAAATGAGTTTGGCAAATGCTGCCTACTACATTCTGTCCTACTGCTGCCCTATCACGCATACATTAGCATGAAAGGGGGCTGACAAGTCCTGTGATTAAAAGCCCTGCTTAAATCAGTCTAGCTCTGGCCCCCTTCCAAACATTTGCCCATAGAACCCTTTTCTGTAAAACAAAAATCAATATTCCACATCTGTGATTTAAAGAGATCTCAAATATAAAGTGCTAAAGGACATTTAAGAATAAGAAAAATTTGGCACAAAATTCTCCTTCAGTCCTAATACAATTGATTCATGGGCTTTCTTTATACGCACGCTAAAATTAGCCAGGACTGAGGGTTTTACTTGCACAGATGAAAATTCAGTGGCAGTGAGCATTAGGAGGCAAGATAACAGAAGTGCTCAATGGCCCAAGAAAGGTTAATGAACAAGAAGAGCAAGCGTAGGGAACAGCAGGAGGGCAGGAAAGGCGAATATATTCTAGGATTCCTAACTTTAGAGCTTTGCACAAAATGGTACAAAGAAGAGGGTGGTGGATGATAGCCAGCGGGTCAAATACAGCCCACTGCTTGTTTTTGTAAAATCTTACTGGAATACAGCTTTGACCATTCACGTATCTGGCTGCTTTCAAAAAACAACAAAGTTAAGTAGCTGTAACAGAGACTATATGGCCAACAAATCATAAAATATTTCTCTTTAGCTCTTACAGAAAACGTTTGCCAACTCCTGGTCAAATCCAATAATTCTCAAACTTTAGAGCGCATCCGGGTGGTCACCTGGGATCTTGTTAGAATGAATATCTCATGCACCAGGTTTGGAGTGGAGCCTGAGCCCCTGGGTTTCTAGCAGAATTCCAGGTGCTGCTGAGATGGCTGGGCTGCAGGACACACTTTGAGAAGCAGAAGTCTAGATGCCTGAGATGCCTAAACTGATCGAGAAATGTAGAAGGGCCAACTGTGTCATATTCTTAACATTCTAAGAATTTATTGCTAATGGTTTTGGAAAATGAAGTTTTCTCTTTTTGAAACTTAAAATTATCTCTATTTTCAGGTCAAAGTACAGTAACTCCGCATGCACCGAATGGTCATATCTGTTACTCCATCTTTCGGTAGTACAGGCCCCAACTTGGAAATAAGGCCATCGCTGCATTCCAGAACAACAGAATGAGATTCATAAAAAAACTCACAAGCAGAAGTAAACATCATGAAAAAGTTACCTTCTAAAGTTATTTCTAGAGCAGAAAGCACCATTACTTACTAAGTAATGTACTAAGATATGTAACTTTCTTTTAAAATCACCTATGGTAACCAAAATTAAATAAATTTTGACACTTAACAATTGTCAGCCTTAACAATTAGGAAAGCCAATTGATTATCATATAGCTTGTGATGTCAGGAGCATCTTGGATTCAGCAAAAGTCAGCTCACGAAACCTGGCAATATCCTTACCTTGTGACAACAATCCAGGGAGGGAGAGCCTGCGGCTGCCTCCCTCTGATTCTTCTTCTCTGATATCCACGAGACTTGAACTCTTCTTTCCTTGCATGGATTCCTGTTTAACCTGCTCTTCTCTGCTGTCCTTCAAACCTTCTGGGCCTATGGAACTGCCGCCTGCCTGAGCTCCAGGCTCACACGGGGCTGTACTATAAAAGTTCATAACTTTCTTAAGAGACAAGGCCCCAGCTTCATAGGTAGCAGCTACTCTCACACCAACAGCAGATGCACATGAGACCACGAGGCTGTTTAGGGCTGAGGTGCTTGTGGTTGGTGGGCTGTGAAGATTAGGAACTGCTTCTTCTACAAGGGGCTAAAATATATACATATAAAGAAGTATATAAAAATATAAGTCCTTATATAATAGCAATCAAGAAAAAAAAGTTTAACATCTATCACTATTTGCAAATATAAGAGTGTAAAACAAAGGTCTCTTTATCTCCAAATTAAAGATATGCCCTCTTGAACATCGATTTAACAGTATTATATGGAAATCAGTACACAAAATATACAGTTCCTCATCAAAAGTACTTCCTTTTGAGTGTTGAATTTTTCTATAGGTATTTACAAATAAGCCACAACTGCATTCATAAAATTAAACACAGTAAAAAGGGAAAGAAGAAAAAAATATGAACATCATCTTTAATATGAAGTATACTGTGGCAGCCCTGGATAGAAGGTTGAAAAGGTGAAAGCTTTATTTAGCAATCAGTTTTAGGAAAATTTACATAGAATGCTACTAAGAAATATAAAAAACCCCCAATTAATTGTTTTTAACAAAGCTTTTCTTAAAATGTTTTATAAATAGAAATTTATATACAATTTATAGAGAGAGGAAATGTTACAGTTCTGGCCCTAACATATACTCTAAGTTCAAGTCCTTCTAGTTTCTCACCAATGAGTTATTTTCCATGGCCCAGAAGCTAGGTAAACTGAAGAATTACCTTTGCTCTCGCTACCATAGAGAATGTGGGAGGTTAATAATTAAACATTTGGAACTAATGTTCTTCATGTTACTCATTGCTGTATTAGAAAGTCAAACTCAAGTTCTCTAATACCTTAGTGAAAAATCAGTTGAAATTTGTTGTGAGCTGTCAAGCACCATTACTTACTAAGCAGGAAAGTCATTAAATGTACCTACTAACCTCACACAGAAAGCTTTTGACATATCAAAATAGGTCACAATTAAAAATTTGCTTCCTGTGCTACCTTAAGGTCAGAGTAATATACACTCCTTAATTTATCCTGAACTAAAAACCAAACCAAAAATTTTTTTTTAACATTGGCTTTTGAGTTTCTTAAAGGAAGTAACTTCTGTTAACTAGAACAGTGCTGGACAAGTAGTAGGTATTCAATGCATTTGTTGAATTAAATGCTAGTAAGAGGCATTGAAACCAAGGGTCTTTATTACTTTGATTATTTTTAAAACCTAGCTCTAGAAATCATATTTCTCTCTCTCTCTCTCTCTCTCTCTCTCTCTCTCTCTCTCTCGACCTCACCTTTCCCTGGATAATCAGCAGCCCCTAAGGCAGCAGACCGTAACCCACACTGGCAGGCTAAAGAGAACATCTTGAGCTAAGTTATGCTTCGGCCCTGAGCCCTAATGTAGAATGGCCCCCTGGCTGCTTTCCCACGAGACCAGACAGAAAAGATCTCAGACCCGGACTCAAGATCTGAAGAAATGATTTACTGCCCTTACTGCACTTCGGACCAATCAGCACGACCTTGAACCCCCAACCCACAGTGTCCTGTCATTGTGCCTTATATAATCTGTAACCTACGTGTCATCGGGGAGTGTGGGCTTTTGAGTATTAGCTTCCTGCTCTCCTGGATGGCAGCGTTCATCATAAAACAGCCGATATTCTCCACTGCCATTCTCCACGTTGTGTTTGGCTCTGTTAGAGCTGGGTGGTCTAACTCTTTCAGTTCTGTAATAGAATCTTTGTGAATATAACAGAATCTTTGTTGAATTATTCAGGGGCCTGCCAAAATGCAGTACCTTAGCCAAGGGGGCGTGGAGAGAGAAGTACTAAGAAAAGAAAAAAAAAAGGGGGGAGGGTTGGGGGGAGATTTGCTACTTAAAAAACAAGCCCAGCATGACATTTTCCAACATCATAAAAGGCCAGAATTTGAACATAAAGAGTAATTTTGAGTTAATCCAGGTATTTCCTTATCTAGGCTTAATTATGAAACCGATTTATAGTCAAATTCAAAAACTAAAAAGTGCTACCAAGCTTTAGGCATGTTCAAGTTTCTAAGAAAAACTCAAGATGGTTGAACTCCAGTAGCAGCTTTCAATTATAAAATGTAGCAGGTACCTGGGATGGCACTGGCTTTTCATGGTTCTCCGAGTTCTCTCTCGTTGAGGGGTCTGACAGTTTCTGCGCGAGTTCACTCCCTGCCGGAGCAGCAGGGTCTGAGGGTATGCTTCCAGCAGATGTTTCTGTTGTTCCTATGATGTCCGGTGGGGAGGGAATGGCATTGCCACTCGTGGTATGGACATGGCCAACATTCAGTTTGTTAGCGACAGCCAGGTCATGCTGTACACCCGTGCTCTCAAATACCTCTCCCAGGCTGTCCCGGGTTTCCGTGGAGGGGCTGATGGCAGTGCTCGCCTGGTTTTCTGCCTGGGATTCCGCCAAGGTCACACCGAGTGGGCAACAGTGACTGTCCGATATAATCACGTGGTCTTCTTTGTCAGTCATAGTGATCAAGAGCTGGCTGCACTGGTTGCATCGTTCCGGGACTGGCTTCTGAGAAGGGGGGCACTGCACGAGCGCTAAGCTGTGGAACGCGCCACAGGCCACCTGGAGCACTACACGCCCGGCAAGGTGCTCCACCTTCTGTGGCTTTGTCACTGGGAAGGTAGTGGTCATGAGACCCAACTGACAACCGGTACCCCATGCCCAAATCTCTCTGCTGATCGACAATGCCAGCGTGTGCTCCTCGCCACATGCCAACTGCACAATCCTGACTGCCAACGAAGGACTGGTCTCGGAGTCAGCAATGCTGACGGCGCTGGGCTCCGGAACCCGCGGCTGGTTGGCGACGGCGCACTGGCCAGCGGAGTTCTCCCCCCACATGTACGCCACGCCGCCCTCTGTCACCGCGCCGCTGTGGAAACTGCCCGCTGCCACAGCGACGACACACTGTCCAGCCAGGGCATGTTCGAGGACGGGGCTGCTGGGACAGGCCTCTGCCGGGGCACTTCGCCAGGGGAGGGCGCCGAAGCTGTACACTGCCCCATCTGAAAGTCCAAAAGGGGAGTGAATTAACTAGACATCAGCGAAGTTTTAATCCCCTCCACATCTAACAAAAGAGGATTTTTCCCCCCTAAAATACAGTGTAGAGATTTGGTTCAAGCATATGATATTCCAAATATATTCATCTTTAAATGAATGACAATTTCTAATATTCTGAAATATAGTGAGAATTTCTCCAAATTGCAGGGTATTTCTTCAAAAGATGGGTATTGCAGTTTCCTTCAGCCTCATCCTACAAACTCTAGCATTGATCCACTACCAACAGTTACCATCGAAGACTATTACAAAAGCAGAGTCCCACTGTTCAAAGACAAAATGATCGTGACAAAATAAAGTAAGCAGAACATAAGGTTTGTTAAGCAGAAGACACACTTGTTAATATCTACAGCTACTGAATAAGTCAGAACAGCAGAAAATTTAGGAGGCATAAAACATCAGATTCATTTTGGCCAAATAAGAAATTAACTTTATACCTCCAGGTTGCACAGAGAGCACTAGTGTTAACAAGATGTGGCTGTCTTTAGGTTATGTGCCACATGATGTGTAAATTTTAAATGTTATCCTATATAATGAAAGCATAATATGCAAATTGACCAAACGGTGGAACAACTGGTTTGCAGGGGGGAGGGGTAGGCTGGCGAGGATGCAGTGCCAGGACAGCCAAGGCACGAGCCAGCGGGCAGAGGGAGGGGATGGTGATCAGCGACCAGCAGCGGCAGAAGGGCAATGGAGGGGGGCGGGCCCAGGCCGGCCACTTGCCAGCCAGCTCCATCCCCTGATCAGCCCACTTGGTCTCCTCCCATCAGTCAGACATCCCCTGAGGGGTCCCGGACCACGAGAGGGTGCAGGCCAGGCTGAAGGACTGCCCCCCCTTCCAGTGTATGAATTTTCATGCACCGGGCCTCTAGTATATATATAATATAGTGTGTGCTGCTTAACAACAGGAATACATTCTGATAAATGTGTTGTTTAGTGATTCAGTCATGGTGCGAACATCACAGAGTATACTTGTACAAATCTAGGTGGTGTATACTTACTATACATCTAAACTATAGGGCAAAGGGTACAGTCTACTGTTCTATAGGGGAGGAAAAATAATTTTCCCTCTATCCTTCTGGGTTCTAGGCTGAAACAGCCTTGTAATAAAAGTCAGATTAATTAGAGAAAAACTATCATTCTCCCTTTTATTCCAGTTATGGTATATCTTAAATATAAGAACTAGCTAGCTCTGCCAGTATGGCTCAGTGGTTGAAAATCAACCCATGAACCAGGAGGTCATGGTTGGACTCCTGATCAGGGAACATGCATGGGTTGTGGGCTCGATCCCCCAGTGTGGGGCTCGCAGGAGGCAGCTAATCGATGTTTCTATCTCTCTCTCTCTCTCCCTTCCTCTCTGAAATCAATAAAAATATATTTTAAAAAAATATATAAGAATTAATCTGTTTTCTGATAAAGTATATATCTTAAATTTAATAATTAATCCAATTTCTAATAAAGGGAATAAAAACATATTTTGAAAACAAAAAAAAATACAGGCTCCAGCAAAGTTCGTTAAAAACACCTGGCATCCAATAACTCTTCCTGCTCTTCCACCCTCAGACATTGGTTAGACTCTCAGTTACTATTGCTAAGCCATTCTTTTCAGTACCTTCCGTCAGAAGAACTCCATGCTTCACTCCCAGGGCCGCCTGAAGAACAGTCCTTTCTCCCCAGCCGGGCAATCTCTCTGGGGTTACAGAGCAGGATCCCGCCTGCCAGACATGGACCAGGCCTCTTTCTTTGGATCCTTCTGCCTTTGGTGAGCTACAAACATGAAGAAAAATCACTTACATGTTCCTGCAATTCAGAGTTGTATCTTACTACTATGTCATGAGATTGGGACCTTTTACCAGCACATAGGAGACTGGGTCAGATTATTTAACTAGCACCTATTTTATGCTTTAGCACAAGAGTGGAGATAAAACTAGCTATATAAAAGGTGTGAAAAATAATCTAAACCCACAAATTACTTTATCTAAGAAGCAAACAAAACCTGGGTTATTTTTTGAAGGTTTATGATTTCATAGCATAAAATGTCAAGATCCTAACATCTCAATATATTAATTTCTTATTTAGGTATTAAAGTTATAACATGCCCCAAGTTGGAGTTTTCTTTTAAGTTTTTGTTTTCAGTGTGGTAACAAAGTATTTGATGAGGAAGATAGAAGGAATAGGGATCCATATTTCACTACACATTGCATTTAAGTTCTAGAATTGCCATTAAAAACTTAATAACCAAATGTAAAGGAACTAGCAACAAAGTTTATCCCTAATCAGCTTTAATTCTATATCTTTCTCTACCAATCAATACAAATGTCACTCACTATTCCTACTTAATAACTATCAACAAGAAAATTAAAGTGAAAAGAAGCTACACATATGTGGACATGCTTTCTGTGTTTTTCTACAAGGATAGAGGAGAAAGAAGAAATGGATTCTTACCTTCCCTTCTTTGAGTCCATCGGTCAGTGGGAGCACTCCATCACCAAATCATTTCCTCTTTGTAAAAGCATCTAAATTAGACCTAAATGTCAAAGCACTGGTAAGCACAGAGAGCAGTGAAAGAATGCTTTACTATGCTTTGCTATTTTATCCCAAAGATTAAAAAACAAAACAAACAACAACAAAAAAACCAGCCTTCTAACAAGTGCACATTCACTTGGCAATAAATACACAGTGAAACTATTTAAACTATTTCACATCTTGCCTGCCAAAGAGGACTATCTAGATGCAGCCTGCCCATATAAAATGCCTGTTGACTAAAATGTAATATCAAAGGAAGACTAGCTACAATTAAGCTGTATTTTGTCAATGCAACGGACTTATTTGGTTTGTGTTTTATTGTAAAGAAAGTAGTTCAATCTGAAAGCTCAAAGTTCATTTCAAAAACATTAAGGTTACTTTTTAAGTGCCTCTGGAACAAACGAACATTTAAGTACCAATTAAATAAGAATTCTTAAAATCTCTTCAGGAATGTATCAAGTAGTTTTAATTTACATTTTTCAGTAATGCACACAAAAGTTAATTATGAAAATAGAAAGTTTTTCATTTATTGGAACTAGCAGTGTTTTCCTAAAATCAACCTAAATTCAAAGCCAGAATCCAAAGGGAAAAGTAAAATGTTTTAAAATCAACCACTGAATAGAAAAGAGCTATATGAAAATTAAGGTACAAATATCATGACCTATGAGTTCAGAAACTTACTGTTTAAGAACTAGATAGAGTCGAAACCGGTTTGGCTCAGTGGTACAGCATCGGTCTGCGGACTAAAAGGTCCCAGATTCGATTCCGGTCAAGGGCATGTACATTGGTTGTGGGCACATCCCCGGTAGAGGGTGTGCAAGAGGCAGCTGGTCAATGTTTCTCTCTCATCGACGTTTCTAGCTCTCTATCTCTCTCCCTTCCTCTCTGTAAAAAATCAATAAAATTTTTTTTTTTTTAAAGAACTAGATAGAAATATAAACAGACAGACAATAATACTCAATGCGTTTCAACTAAAAATTCACATTTTTAAGGACACCAAAACTCATGAAAATAAAGGCAATGAGGTTTTATTTGTGTGAACCATAAAAACACTGGGGCCAAATTTATGATTTTTCTGCAGAAAGACGTAACCTGGCCACTGTGTGCTGAAACAGCCCTTACCAGCAGGAATGATGTAAGAGCCATCTGTTTACTCCAGGTTGCCTGTGAATTCTTATGGTTTCCCATCTGTATATCTGGAGGAAGTTACCCTCTTCCTAATGCTTATTTTAGAAAGAGTTTGAATCATTCAAATTTGGATGAAGGGTACTATGTGAACAAAAGATATATCTGAATAATTTTAATAAATGCTATTAATTTGATAAATATGATCATTATGTGACAGTTTTAGGTGTGATAGTAATTAACTTTAAGTAAAATGTGCAGTTCATGGTGTACAGAGAAATTCTGAAGCCAGATCTAACTTGTGCTTACTTATCAGAGCTCAAGAAATAACTGTTCAACTGCGGAATCTCAGAGGAAAGGCGGAGGTGGGTGGTGGGTGAATGGGAAGAAATCAACCAAATAACTTGTATGCATATATGCATAAAAACCCATGGACACAGACAATAGGGTGGTAAAGGCCTGGAGTCGGAGGTGGAGGCAGGTTAAAAGAGGTCAATGGGGAGAAAAAGGGGACATATGCAATAATTTCAACAATAAAGATATATATATATAAAAAAAAAAGAGAGGTAATGTTCCCTTGATTAAAGTTAAACCATACCCAGCAGAAACCGCTGGGAGGGTGTGGAAGCACAGGAGCACACTTTACAACTAATTATCTGTATGTAACTGAATTTTGTCCTAATGCCTGACATTCAAAATGTTGAGAATGTTTTGGTAAAGTGAATAAAACAGCAAACTCTCTTTCAGTGCTCTATTTTTAAATACAGAGCCTTTTAAAAGGGGTTTTCACCTTACACCATATGGTTTCTCACCACCACTCACTCATTTTTTCAAATCCAAATGAAATTAAAACGCTACAAACTGTGTTACAACTTTCTTTTGTTACTGACTATACATGGTAGGCACAATGGTCCCAAAGATGCCCTTGTCCTATTACCCACAACTTGTGAATATGTTAGGTTACTTGACAAAAGGAAATCAAGGTTGCTAGTCAGCTGACTTTAAGACAGGGAGCCTATCCGGTTATCCAGGCAGACCCGATGTAATTACAAGAGTCCTTAAAAATGGAAGAGGGAGGGAGAAGCAGAGAGAGAAAGATGTGATGATGGCAGCAGGGTGAGAGAGATGCTATGTAGATGGTTTTCAAGACTGGACGGTAGCCTTGCTGAGTATATTATTTTTGGCTGAAGGCCAGATAAAGAGCTTCACTAATAAAAAAAAGCTAAAGGAGTTCATCACCACCAAACCAGAATTATATAAATTGCTGAAGGGGGTTCTTTCAGAAGAGAAAGTAAATAAAGATAAAAACTATGAACAACAAATACGTAACTATCAACAAGTGAATCTAAAAACCAAGGGAATTAAAAAAAAAATCTGATGAACAATATTAACTGGTGAATATAATAGAATCAGAGGTATGGTAGGGGAGTGGACTAACGATTCTCAGGGAAAAAAGGGATAGGGGGGCATGGGAAGAGACTGAATATAAACTGTACACCTATGGATGAGGACAATGGGGGTGGGGAAAGGGCAGAGGGTGGGGTGGGAACCTGGTGGAGGAGAGCAATGGAGGGTGGGAAGGGGGGGAATGAGGAACATTTGTAATAATATGAACAATAAAGATTCATTTAAAGAAAAAGAAAAAAAAAAAGACTGGGCGGGACATAAACAGTGCCCTCTGGAAGCTAAAAGGCAAGGAAGGAGGTCGTCTCCCAGAGCCTCCGGAACTGAATGCAGCCCTGCTGACAGCTTGGTTTCAGCCCTGAGAGAATTGTTGAACTTTAACCTAAAGAGATGTAAGATAATAACTGTGTTATTTCAAGCCACTAAGCGTGTAGCAATTTGCTACAGTAGCAACAGAAAGTTACCTAACATACTACTCATAGATATCTTTCTGTATCAGTTTTTACAGGTCTATCTCATTTTGTCTTAATTGTGTTTAATGTTTGACTTCCAAGAAATGTCTGCCTGAAACTCAAATACAGCAATGAGAAAAAGAGAAAAAATTGCAAAAGAAACATCTAAAAGGAATATTGCAGCTAAATATGATGGGAAACTTATATCACAAAGTGGTCCCAGGCAGGGCATAGACAGTGGCTGACTTTGCACCTCACAGGAGGCCCCAGAGCCAGTGCACCCAGTGGACAGCTTTAGACCATGCCAGATTACAACTTACACATCCATGAGTGACACACCCAAGGGGCAGACTCAGTGAGCACCAAAGCCCCACTGATGCAAGTCCTGCTCCATAGGGGTCTCTTCTGCACAGCAGCTCTTCTGCTGTTAGTCACAGCTGGTCCTCACAGCCAACTGGCCTGGGGGTCAATTCCTCCCAGTGACACCAACAGCAATCAAGGCTCAACTACAACACAGGGCACACAGCCCACAAAGGAGTGCACTTACGAGTGCCCAGCTCAGGTCACTGGGGATGCTAAGCAACTGGGCTCTTCAGGACACTTACTACGTAAGACCAATTCCAGGAGACATAGCAGCTCTAATACATAGAAACAAACACAGGGAAGCAGTCAAAATGCGGAGACAAAGAAACATGTCACAAATGAAAGAACAGGGTAAATCTCCAGAAAAAGAACAAAATGAAATGGAAGCAAGCACACTATCACACACAGAGTTCAAAACAATGGTTATATGAATGCTCAAGGATCTTACTGAGAACTTCAAGGGAGTTAGTGAGAATTTCAAGGATCTTAATGACAACATCAAAGACATGGAAAAGGACCAGTCAGAAATAAAGAATACACTGAAATAAAGAATAATTTACAGGGAATAAACAGTAGAGTAAAGGATGTGAGAGAATCAAATCAGCAATTTGGAATATGAGGAAGCAAAAACACCCAATCAGAAGAGCAAAAGGAAAAAAGAATCCAAAACTATGAAGACAGTATAAAGAGCCTCTGGGTCAACTTCAAGTGTACCAACATTTGCATCATGGGGGTGCCAAAAGGAGAAGAGAGAGCAAGATAGTGAAAATCTATTTGAAGAAATACTGACAGAAAACTTCCCCAACCTGGTGAAAGAAACTGACTTACAAGTCCAGAGTGCAGAGCCCCAAACAAGATAAAGCCAAAGAGGCCCACACCAAGACAAGTCATATAGTTAAAATGGCAAAGGTTAAAGACAAAGAGAGAATCTTAAAAGTAGCAAAAGAAAAGTAATTAGTTACCTACAAGGGAGCACCCATATGACTGTCAGTGGATTTTTAACAGAAACGTTGCAGACCAGAAGGGAGTGGCTAGAAATATTCAAAGGGATGAATAGCAAGGACCTACAACCAAAATTACCCAGCAAAGCTAACATTTAGAATTGAAAGTCAGAAAAAGAGCTTCACAGACAAGAAAAAGCTAAAGGAGTTCATCACCACCAAACTAGTATTACATGAAATGCTGAAGGGCGCTATTGAAGAAGAAAAAGAGGGTAGTGGGGGAGGGAGAGAAGAAGGAGGAAGAGGAATAGGGCAACTAAGACTTGATTATGTTTTAGACATGGGGGGGGGGGATAGGAGAGAAGGAAGTATCAAAAATTATCTTTAGGTTCTGCCTTGAACAATTGTATGTTGGTGATGCCGTTTACTGAAATAGGAAGAGTAAAGAGAGACAATTCTGAAGTGGGAAATCCAAAAGTACAGAACTTGACAGAACCAAGTCCTGGACAAAGTGAAATAGGAACATGTGTGGTGGGTTGATCTTTCACCAAAGGAAGGATCTACATTTTAAAAAGGAAACCACAGCTAAAGATATAGGCAGGATCACAGATTTTGTAGTGGGAGGATACAATCCATATAATGTGACTAGGACTTCACAGTATGTGTGATATGTGTCCTAACCTCACTCCTGGCTCCATTCATTGTTTATTTTATCT